ACCTCAAACTATCGTCTATGTTAGATTAATAGACGAGAGAAAGGGAAAACAAAACCGTAACACTCTAATGCTTACTGGATACAGGACATCCGGAACTTTAATTATTCAAACTCATGCTAAGAGTTTACTCATGAAGAATCATGGGGGCGTCCAAACATTACGGATGCTTCTATGAAGAGAATTGAACCCCGCACGAAGTGTAAGGGCACACTCGTGATTCCTGAGTTCCACGATAATAGAATTATCGAATGGAATTTACACTCACCAAGAACTTGGGGCGCAGACATGATCAGGTCAAGAACTCTTTCGACCTAAAATCAAGTTTGATTTCACTACCATGTCAATGGGAGTGGAACAGCGTATTTTTCTCTGCGAAAGATGGCGATGCCAATAGAAAGGAGAACTTCTACATTCCCGATCTGCAGCTGTCAGCGACAATGCAGGTAGTCTCAAGAAGAATCTTGACAACATACGAACAAAAAGACTTAAGGCAGATGTGCCAGAGTCAAACCAGTTAAATAAGGAGAGAGCAAGAACTGCTCATGCCTTTCAACCAAGTGCTTCGGCCCAGTCGAGGATACTTTGGGAGAGTTGCGAATGGACGATACGAAGTAGAACTTCGTCCGACTAAATCCTATATACTAGGGCTTACCCTACTCACGGTCCATACCAACACTCTTTTAAGAAGGAGGTTGAACGTCTCTGCGAGGCAGGAGACCAAGAAGGTGAATCGTTCCGAATGGGCGGCACCAACTTTATCACTCCCAGAAAGATGGATCTGTAACGAATCATCTCTGATTTCGGGAACCAAAAAAAAGGATTAGCGGAAGCCTTATCCTATCCCAAAAATACAGGACTGCTCTTGAATCTAGATGGATTAAATACGCTACTAGTTAGACCTGAACATGGGACACTTCACATCGAGCTGTCACCTCATCGAAACAACACATGTCCATGCACTCCGAGGGAAAGCACGGTACCAGAGGTTGCCAATGGGCCTATGTAATAGTCCCGACATCTCCAAAGGAAAGATGAAAACACGCAAGCATGACTTAGAAAATGTCCGTGCATACATGATGATCACTCATCCTAACTGACGTCGATCTGGCGGATCGCGTGGAATAGTTAGATGATCTTTCCAAAACTTCAAGAAAGTCGGGTTAAAATCAACACTACCAAGGCTTCCTCGAAAGGAAGAATTGAGTATCCAGACAATTGGACTTACTCGAGAAGGAATCCAACCTTTAAACTAAAAAGATAATTGATGCGATCCAGCTATCGCTCTTCCTCCAACAGGAAGGAACTTCGTGGATTCTTGGACAATGAATACCAAGGGCTGCTCCAAGACAGCAGACGGAGTAACCATCGTTCTGAAACAGCAGTGGGTTACCCAGTATCCATGACCGGTGTCATGGAAAGAGAACGTGAGTCCGCGCAGAGGTCGAGAAGACTCTCCGGATGAACATGGACTTCGTCGCAAATTCACGCGCGTCAATCGTGACAAGATTCACCACATCCGTTTCAAAGCAAACCGGAAATACATTAAGGAAGTCGCCAACGACTTATCCAGAAAAACAACGATAAGGAGAACACGGCGTGTCCCTCATCAACACCATGTCAAAGATACTTGATGATTCATCAGTATCAGGACGTTATACGGTAGCCAACGCACAAGGTCCTTACCACACAGACCGAGTCAATACAATGGCACTGTATCGGCTCCGACATACTACCGCCATGCGGCACAGTCTACCGACTTGGAACATAAGGTATTACACCCATACAAGGCCTGATCCCCTTGTAGGATGCCATCGTGCGACGCACATGTCTACATCCAATCTCCGGAGAGTGCCCCGCACTTTAATTCATATGTTCTCCTTGTCCGACTGATGTCGTGCCTTCCGTGACCCTTGTCAGGGGGCGAATGCAATACACGGCTTTAGCCTTATTCGCGACTCGATCCTAGATAGGGTTTTGAGTTCGACTCATGACTGAGTCTCTCGTGTAATAGTCATTGAGACAGGGTTCTCAATGACCGCTCTAGTCATACTAGTGATGATGAAACATCGCTCTAGATATTTAGCCAGCGTGGAGTATTCCACGCTCTAGATAAATGCTAGACGAATCTTCCACGCGTCCGTTTTTGGATCGTGGAGTGAGTAGGATTGCTACCGCAACATACTCTATCACACTCTACAGTCTCCCGCGGGAGTTCAGATCTACGATCCTTTGATTGTGGATCTCTCTCGTTGATTAGTTTTCATAGCTTTCTAATCCTCTCATAACTTTCATTCTCTCAAACTCAAAACACTCGAAAGATCTTTACACTAGCTTTTAGCGTAGTGCACTTTGTACCAGCAACATTCTATTTTGCCAACGGGGACGGACAATAGTACAATTGGCTGGACCACAGCATTCATGAGTGCCTTTGGTATTCAAGTGTGAGGACTTTTATATCATTGCTCGGGCCAATGTAGTTTTCCCGCTTGATCACATCAGTCCCTGTGAGCAAGATGCAGCTGGATATCTAGAAGATGGCATCTTGTATCAGGGAGATGGAATCATCAAGCACTTTTGGTTGTCATTGAGGGTATTGAATGGCCTGGTGGAATCCCAGATTCCACCTGAGCTCCAGTTGCTTTCAGACCTCAAGAGCTTGGCATTGGATGGATTCAATCTTGCCAGCACCATCCCAGAAGACCTCTTTGGCCTTCCCAGTTCGTTGGAGTATATTTCGATTACAGATGGTGGCCTTTATGGATCCATTCCTGATGAGGCAATTGGGAGATTCTCAAAACTTGCAGTTATCTACTTATATTTTAACTCTTTGACGGGAACTGTAAGTGGCAACCGATGATGGATCTCACAAGACTGTTCTTCAATATCTCATATTGTCAAATCATCACTTTGACTTTCTATTGTTCCCAGATTCCATCCTCCCTGTTTTCGCTTTCGAACTCCATGAGAAGTATTGTTGAACAATTTAATCAGCTGACTGGACCAGTGCGTAGATTATGAGTCTTGGCGTTTGTGAATATTACAGTTTTGCTGTTCTCACTATACCATTCTTTATCTTGTACTATAGATACCAACAGAAATGGGATTGCTTACTAATTTGCAGTCTGTTTGGTTTTGGGGAAACCTTTTCACGGGGACCATTCCAATAGAGCTCGGGCAGTTGACCCTCTTATATGCATTGGATCTTAACAGCCTAATGTTGAGTGGCACTGTAAGTGATTTGCAGTGATGTTTAAGGGATGGAGCGCGTGATTGTGTAGTAGTTCCTTTTTCTAGCTGTACTCAATGTTCTCTTTGATTCCTTTAGATCCTAAATGAGCTTGTAGTTCTGACAGATTTGTTAGTTCTGCAACTGAATGAAAACTGGAGTCTTGCCGGGACAATCCCTAGATGGCTTGGCAACCTGACATCCATGGAATATTTGTCACTGTCATACAACTCCTTCACTGGGACAGTAAGTCTTTTTCATGCCAGTCCTGTCGGGTTTCTTCTTCTTCTAACGTGAATTCCATCATTTCTTCTTTCCATCTAGATCCCTAGATGGCTTGGTCGCATGGCATCCATGACCTATTTGTCGCTGGGAGGGAACTCCTTTACTGGGATTGTAAGCCTATTTTTGTGCCAGTCGTGTCAAGTTTCTTCTTCTTCTAAAATGAAGTCCACCGTTTCTTCTTTTTGCTTTAGATCCCTACAGAACTTGGCCTTCTAACAAAGTTATCTAACTTATGGCTTGGTGTGAATATTTTGTCGGGCACAATCCCGAGCGAGATTGGAGTGTGTGAGCAAGTTGTATATTTGAACATGCACAGCAATAACCTGACAGGAACCATTCCAACAGAGCTTGGACAGCTCACCCATGGTTTACGGCGGTTAACTATGGCTGTTTGACAATGATTTGACTGGAACGGTGCCCCTGGAGCTTGGCAACGTTCTTTTCCCTGCACCTTACGGTGAAGTCTTTTTGCACGGAAATGATCTTTCTGGTATTATCCCTGAGAGCTTGTGTTCTGCCAACAACCTAATTTTCGATTGCAGCAGCCAGCTCTGTGGATGTGACTTGTGTAATTGTTCTGACAATAGAACATCATGGGTACTGGAGGGAGAAAACGTTGTCTATCGAGATGGTCAGCTGGTGCTGCTGAGTGATGATGGTTACCTGCTGCCGCTGGACGAGACAAACCAAACTAAGGGGAACCAAACGGAAGCCTGAACCGAATGACTGGATGGTTGTGTGCGTGTGTTGATCAAACTACTACCTACATGTTTGCATAGAAGTTTTACCTACGTTTGAAAGTATTTATTCATGTTACTTCTCAGTTTAGTTCGGTACCGGAACCTACGGTAGCATCGTAGGCCAAAGATAGTTGTGGATGTTGGATGCGACAGCAGTATACTGTAATGGCATTGTCTTGTCCATACTGTTCGGAATGGATGCACATTCAGATGCGAGCACAACTACCAGATCGTATAGACTAGCTAGCAGTTAGGGATCTATTCTTACCGCTTCTATATACTAGCTAGTAGCTCTAGCTAGCCAATAAGTTGTCCCAAAAAGAACCACGGAATCGTCTTTGTTTTAAATTTGCTCAGGCATCGAGCCTAACAGCTTGCTTAGCTACTAGCTTAGTGGGTGGTCCTCAAGCACATCTTGCCTGACTCCGTTAATGGACGTTCGTTTTTGATTTTTTTAAGCTAGCTACAGCTATAGCTTGATAGCTAGCACTAGCTAGCTATGACAGGTGGAGACCACGACGATGGATCCACCATGATCATCAATAATTGAGGGCATCGATCGAGGGATCTCGAGCCACGACGGCTGACTTTTTGGTTGGCATGATCGACTTTGTGAGCATCGTTGTCGGATGGTGGCGCTGGTTCTATCCGTTAGCGTAACGTCTATTTGTGTATTTGGAGTTCCAAATCCCGGCTATCGTTCTATGTGACGCATGGTTGCATTTACCGGTTCTCACGACTGGCGGTTTCTGGAAAACCTGCCGCCAATCCAAACGGTAAGCGATGGCTGTCACATACTACTGCAGTACACGCAACACAATTAGTCTACAAAAGACGCAACGATGAATAACCAAGACAATACTAATAATAATCGAGACCAGCAATAACACTTCCATTCATTGGCAACGGCTATAATAGACTCAAGAGTTAAATTGAGCGGCAAAAAGACGGGCTTTGGCTGTTGGGTAGCAAGAGTTGTCTTGTCTTGTCAACCGAGGACATCGACTCTATAGATCGAGGTACTAGCTATAGTAGTCCCACAATTTGATCTTTCTGCCATCAACCACACATATCTATTGGCTTTTGGAGTTGGTTATCTTCTTGTTATCTTTGGTTATCTTTGATTATCTTCTTGTTATCTTGGTTGGCAAGCTTTTTATACCCATCCATCCAAGTCCATCCATCCATTAAGCTGTTAAGCTTGGGTATATACCCATCCAACAAGCTATATACCCATCCAACAATGTGGAAGATCCAAAAGCTATTGGCGCAACATGCGGGTCCTCGTGAGCGTCCACGAGAGAGTCTGCCCAAGCCTCCACCTGGAATGGCTTGGCTACAGAATCAGTCTACCAAGGAGTGGAAGTTGGTGCCAGCAGACAAGCATCATCCTGCTGACACTACTGCTACAGGCACTACTACTACCAATAATGGTAACAAGGAAGAAATGCTGGACTTTTCAGGCCACCAGCAAGCCTTTGACAATCCCTTTGAACAAGCCATTGGTCATGGTCATGAGACATCTTCTGTTATTGTCAAGCAGCACCACCACCACCTACAACAACTCCAACTCCAACAACAACCAGCAGCAGCAGCAGCAGCAGTACTAGACTTTGGGGAAGAAGAAGAAGAAGAATCCAAATCCAATCAGCACGAAGAAACCGATTGGGAATTGCTCAGTGACCGTCATTCTTCTTCCACTCATCATACGAATAGCAGCAGCAGCAATAGTGGCATTGCCTTTGTCACACGCAACGGATCCATTGCCAGTGGCTGCTCGTCGTCGTCATTGTCACTCCACAAGAAGACACTCTCCAGTTCCACTTTGGATTCCCACGATTTGGGTCCGTCCGGAAAGGGTGTCTTGGGCGTGGATTATGTCGAGCATGTCATTTTACCCACCGATACCATGCAGGGCATTTGTTTGGCCTACAAAATCAGTGCGTCGCGGCTCAAACGCGCCAATCACTTTTCGGGTGAAACCTTGGCAGTAGCACCCAAAAAGTTGGTCATTCCCATTTCCAAACAAGCCATGCGACAGGGATATTTGCGAGTGCAAGATACCGATTCCAAGGAATACAAACTCCATGCGCTCCAAGCCGAATTCCCACAGCAGTGTTTGGGCGTCACTGAAGCCAAGGCGTGCGTATAATTATGATTGGATGGATGGATGGGTTTGGATCGTTGGATGATTTCTCACCACTCGTTTTCTGTTTCTGTCTCTCTATTTCTTTGTATGCAGCTACTTGGAACTGGCCGACTGGGCACTCCCCGCCGCCATGCAATCGGCACGAGAAGACTTTGGATGGGAAAAGACGACAACATCGCAGCAGTTGCGAGCTGGAGAAATCCGAGTCATGATGGATGTCACGCACAACACACGCGATGGGGATGTCACGCCCACACTCAACTTTAGTGCCCAAGGAGCTGGATTTTCTACCTGCAAAGAAGAAGAAGAAGAAGAAGAAAAGGAACAAGAACAGCAACAGCAACAACAACCCATGGATCCTAGATTGGTCGATCCCAAACGTCCCCTGGTAGAACAGGCCGCATCCCATCACAACTCGTTTGGACTCGAAATGAAATCCTTGTCGTCGTCGCAAGAGACGTCCTCCTCCTAAATGGTAAATGGACCATACCGTACTGTACTGTACTAGCTAGCTGCAAGTACGGTAGAGAGAGAAGGAGTGTGCGTTTTTGACTTTGGAGGATCCTATATTATTATCTGTGTAACTTGACTTGACTTGACTTGACTACTTGATTGACTTGACTTGATTGTATCCAAAATTGACTATATAAAGAACTACGTGCTCATACCCCTAGCTAGCTAGCTACGTATACCATAGCCTTGTGCCTTGTATCTGTAGTAGCGGCATCGAAGCCAAGTCATCTCGTTGCCTTTTGCACTCGTTGCTATGCACAGAAATCCATATCCTTTTGCCGTACGGTAGGTTCAAGTTTGTGTCTTGCCGTTCCAAGTCAAGAACGACGGCACAGAGCGGAGGGCGGGCATACCGTACCGTAGCAGCGACTCCCGCGCCGGTTCCAACAGCACGGCACAAAAGACTTTGTCACAGACGTCCCGCCCTCTGGATCCCCTGCTCGCTGATCTACGGGTTTCCCTTACCCATCCGGAACCGCTACATGTAGTAGCTATGGTAGCTAGTAGCTAATGCAGCGGCAAACCGGTACTCCAGTAGAAGCTATAGCTATAGGAGCCTGATGAAACACGTAACTGGCAGTTGAGAGAAGGATTGACGTCGAACTAACAAATTGTGACCGGAGATGAAACTGGTAGGATCCATATATACGGTAGTTACAGAGTACTGTACCTCAGATCGAAAACAATCGACTTTGTTGATGATATGATTGAAACCCCGCTTGCGTTATGCCATGACTTTGACCTAAGCTGCGCCACTACTCCTCCGATTGAGCGGCGGCGGCTGCGTGCATGCCGAGCCCTGTTGATGAAACACCTAACATGCTACACACTGTACTGTGTTTTGCTTCCTTTTTACTCGTTCCAGTTGTCTGACCTTTCTGTTCCGGCAACCGAGCTGTTGTTTGAACGATCGATTCGGAGCTGCTTCATACTGTTGGAGCTGCTAGCTAGTCCGATGGAACTCGTTTCACCACCGTCACCACGACGAAAGAGACAGCAGGATCGTGCATGGCTGCGTTCCGGGCGAGAGCAGCCTGGCAAGATGGCTAGACCGGCCCGGTCCCCGTGCAATGCAAGGGTTTTGTCACGCCGAAAGAGAAGATGCCAACGCTTACTATCCATGGATCGTTAGTTAGATAGTTAGACCAAAAATGTTGGTCTTCTGCAGGAACGGAGCACTTGCCGTCGCGATGTGTTCATTGGTCTTTGTCGTTTTCGCATCTATTGTGCAACGAAAACCTAGCTAACCACAGGAACAACCACATCCACACAGCGTGCTGCCCTTACCACAATCAAAGGAGAGACCATATGGTCCTTCACAAGGATTTATGATAGTGGCAATGCAGGAGCCATTCAGACTGCACAGGGCCTCTGGAACAATCCCTGACAGCCCAACATTCCCTTCCAGCTTCAGGGTATGCAGCTGTAATTCGGCCAGCTCGGAGGGCAAAACTCCAGTCAGTGAGTTATTGGCAACATTCAGTTTGCCAATGGAAGCCAGTTGTCCAAATTCACTTGGGACTTGTCCGCTGAGTACATTTCCTTGGATCTCTAGCTCGTGCAACTTTGTCAACAGCCCTAACTGGGTTGGGATGGTCCCGGAGAGAAGCTGGTTGTTTTGTAGATTCAGAAAGTCGGACAGGCTTGTCAGTAATCCAAATTCCGATGGAATTTCCCCCGAAAATTGGTTGTCTCGCAGAGAGAGAATAGTCAATGATGTCATGAGTCCAAGTTCACTGGGAAGTGTGCCAGAGTGCTGGTTTTGCGACACAGAGAACATGCCTACACCAGACAAGAGACCCAGTTCTGTTGGCAGACTTCCGGAAAGCCTGTTGGCTACAAACACGATCAATTCGGCCTTCTGTAGCAGTCCCAGCTCTGAGGGCATTGTGCCTATTGTGTGCCAATACAAAGAATGGGGGAGATTAGACGACAGGCATCCGGCTTTATTCTTGCTAGGTTCCGGCCACAATTAACCAAAACATGCTCACTTACCTGAGAAATGAGTGCTATCCATGTTGAGCCATCTAAGGTTGGTCATCAAAGCAATCTCTGAAGGAATGCTCCCTTTTAGGTTTGGGTTTTCACCAAAAAGGATGGTCTGTAGATTGGTGAGCTTCCACAGTTCCGTTGGAAAAATTCCCTCCAGCTCGTTAGTATTCAACCCGAGTCCCCGCATTTTGGTCAGCAAGCCAATCTCTGTGGGTATGGTCCCCACTTTGGCGTGTCCATTAATGACCAATCCTTCCAACTGTGTCAGTTGTCCCACTCTTGTAGAGATGGTTCCTTCAATCCTATTTCTCCCAATGGAGAGAGTTTCGAGGGAAGTCAAGAGAAAGAGCTCTTCTGGGATAGATCCCACCAGATTGTTCTGGTCTAGCCACAAATGCTGGTACAAACCAGAATGGTTGTGACAGGATGGAGCACCGGAAATATTCTTGAATTCTTCAAAGTACCCAGAAATGAACTTGGATCGCTTGTCCCGCAGGGAGAAGGATGACTGTTGGAACCAGTCACACTCATGAACACTGTGATTGAGCCAATTGGAGTTGGTAGTCCACAAGTCCCCATTGGTGGCAAAATAAAGAGTGGCCAGGGCGAACCGTTGTATCATCTGGCCTTCCTCCTCTGAAGAATCATAGAGATAATCTCCTTGTTCGATATCATCCCATAGCCATTGGAAGGCTTGTGCTTGGGGAGACTCTGGATCTTCCTCAATGGACCTGACAGTACATTGTGGGAGCAAGTCGAGGATACTGCCATGGAGTGTAGTGGAAGCTGCAGGAGAAGGAGCTCTTGTGGGGGTGGTTGCTGAGAAATCATCATGGTTGGTACTATGAGGGTACGATGATTCCTCATTGTTGCCGGGAGTCAAAACCACCACTGCTACCAGAATGACAACAATCACAATCAAAACAAGACAGCTTACAGAAAATACCTTGGTTTGGAATTGCTTGTCCCTCCTGGCTCTCCTCCTGGCCGATTCGGCAGCATCAAAATCTTGTGCTTGAGGCAGGTCGGCTGCGGACTGCAGAGTGTCCTCTGGAACCAAAACTGCCTCTACCAAGCTGCTTTGGCGATTTGTAGTTTCAGATGTGCCTCCTACCGGTAGGCTGAACGCAGTAGTACTTGTGGTGTTGTCCGGACTGTCAAAGTCACCCGTTCTGGTCGTATCTGTACTTGTACTTGTAGAATCCCTGGGGACCCATTCGTCGTTCTTGTCTGGAATCGCTGCCTCCTCGTCCTGAGCTATAGAGTTGCTGCTGTTGTCTGATGTTTGCTGTACTACCGGTAGTAGATCATCGCTACTATCCGCCTCTACTGGGGTGGGAGCAATGGCATAGGCGCCAGGGAGACTCTCTTGCCGAGCCGCGACGGGCAGGATCGTGGCGTCTGTAGAAGTACTGGTACTTCTCGCACCACTTGTGGTATCACTGCCATTGGTGAGATTTCGAGTTGTGGTCTGTGCTTCCACATCCACGTCTTGGCCATCCAGATGAGAACTCGTACCGTTAGTAGCAACGCTACTGTGATTGCTGTGATCATTCAGTCGAGCAGCTACGACGTCCAGAATATCAAAGTCATCTTTCTCATCCTTCATTGTACTTGTACTAGTAGCACTATTATTAATACCCGTAGACATGATGTGGTGTTGGATATGTTGGATGATTATTATATCTTGGCTATAATAACTGTGCTGTTGTGAAGCCTCAGCAACTGGAACACTGGGGCGTGTGCCGTGTGCCGCTCAATTATTATTTGATGCTGCAGCCGACAATAAAAAGAGATGTTGCTGGATGCTGGATGTGGTGTGTGGTAAGTGGTGGTCTTGTCCAGTCAAGAAGCTTTTAAAAGTTCTTTTGTAGTCTCCAGATATTCTCTTCGTACTCTCATTAAGTCCTCTGTTGTCTTATAATGCATTAAAGGACTTCTTTCCGAATATGCAGAGAGCATAAGTACTTAATTGCCCCTGGAGTTCTTGTAACCATTCGTTAATCACTTCATCAGTACCGCATGAAGTACTAGTCACTTGCCAGAGCCCTATCTTGCCAGTGCTTTTGCCACCGCACTCACTCTTCCGTTGACGTGGTATTGATGTTCCGGTGTGGTAGCAGAAGCAAAAAGCAAAAGCGATAGGGCCAGCTTTGGATCGATAAAAGCCATTGAGGCATCTTATTACGATGTTCTTGATACATACAGTACATGTAATATAATATTGTCCATTCCAGTAGCTATTCCAGTCGAGTGGAGGAGGAGAAGATGGGGGTGAAATTAATGATCACAGTCAGGTGGTGATGGGGCAATTACATGTTGCCACGACCCGCATCTCGAGCGAGAACCCGAGTTTGCCTAGTACACGAGCTTCTGCTAGCTAGCTTAGTAGCATACCGTATTATGTTGACCAACTACGTAGCGTCAAGCATTGAAGAAGTGCCCTGGCGCCTGCTGGCTGATTGTGTTGTCCAGCCACACGCTTCAAGAACATGCCCAGTTCTGTGGGAAGAGTCGAGTCAAGTCAAGTCGTTTCCATTAGTCTGGTTTGGTTGCATAGCTAGATAGTCAGTTCTACAGTTGCAGCCACAACCACACAAACTAATAGCCGCCCGCAAGCAGTCAAGCAAACAACAAGCCCTCGGTTGTTCTTCGCAAACAGCCAGCCATGCATGCATCACATCATTGCCAACAACAGGTCACGTGGATGTGCTGCTCATGTTGTACTGTACAATGCTTCTGGAATGATTCAATCACTACCCCATGTTGTATTAGCTTTCCGCTTGAGGTCTCTCATGCTAACATGGTTGGCCAAAGACAACCAGTTAGTTAGCTAGCTAGTCAGTCGAGTCGGCTCTGTCTATTTTAAAGTTTTGAAGGGACCGGACGGAGGAAAGTGGTGGCGTGTAGCTGTGAGGTAGTGTGCGGCCTTGTTGGAGGCATCAACACAATGACACGAATGAATACAGTGTTTTGATTGGACGATCTTTCATCATTCACGAAAGACCTGGTCCGCTGAGCGCCAAAGCAACGGCTAAAAATCGCAGACCCACAAACCACAAATAAAGCAATGCGGCCAACCATCATTGCATTGAATGTATAGAAGTAGTCTAGAGCAAGTATACTGATAGAACTGTCTGTTGCTACCATACCGGTACCATACAGCTGGAATCCATTTTACTGTACTTGTCTACCCCAGCTTTGGTAGTGTCAGGATTGGTATAGCTGCTGTTTTTATCTAGAAGAAGAATTCAATTCGATTTTATTAATAAGAGGATACCCCAGATACCCTTAGGATACCCATTGGTTAATGGATAATCATTCTACCCAAATCTACCTTCAGAGTGACAGTCTGCCCCATTCAAGCTACCCCCATCAAAAGACAAGAGTCTGGAGTCAAAATTGAAATTTGGATGTCTACCAAACAAGTTAACCCAAAGACTGACTGATAAGATTGCCTGACTGCTGATACCCCATCCACCCATCCATCCATCCATCCATCCATCGACCTTTTGGTCCACTGTCTCCCATCCATCTACCTGTTGGTAATTGAAACTGAAAGAGAAAGGAGAAAAGAAATTGACAATCCACATTTGTCTTCCTATTTTAATTGGCAAGATAAGAAGATCAGATACCCAAGTTGACTTTTTTCCTGGTTATTACCAATTGAGATCTACCATCTACCAAGTCCATCCACAACCAAGCTAGACTATTTCAAAAATTCCATTGATCCATTTACTTTCTTGTTTTGGTTTTCTTGGACACTGCAATCAATCAACACCATGCAAAAGAAACACGATGGAGAATATCCAGTGCCAACCACAACAACAGTCCCCAATCCAACAATAATCGTTTCTCCCACTTCTTCTGGGATCACAAACACTGGTACTATTAATAGTATTACAGCCAATTCCACACCCAGTTCCGAAAAAAGGCAACGAAAAACACTGCTGATTCAAAAACAAAGACTCAATTACCTTCAACAGCAACAGCAACACCAACATTCACTTCATTTACCAAACATGAACCACTCCAATGGCAGTGCCAGTTCTTTTCTACATGTACATTCACCCAACTCCAACAACAGAATAATACATCCCCTCGATATTGCGACAGACATGAGTGAATCGTCCCAACAGAGTTTGATATCCACCACTTCCGCGGCTACCGGTACCATCACACACACTACTTCTGCTACTGGCTTTCGGTCCATGGCCCATCGGATATTACGAAGATCTTCCAATCATCACCAGTCGTCTACAGCATCGATACGGATCAAACGATTCATTCGTGTCATGGGAATGATTGCTATTTTCTGCTTATTGGGATTGCTCCGGGAACAAACCGCCAATGGCAGCAATCAACGATTCCAAAATGGAGACAAACAAATCAAGGCACAATCCGCAGACGATGATGGACACTTGATACAGAAACAAAAGGATAAACAAAAGGAAATACAGGCATCATTACAGCAAGAGCAACAGCAACCAAACGATACGACACCATCAGAACTGTCTTCCTCCACAACGACTGCCAATGCTCCAATGACGGCACTCGACAACGATGTACCCGAAGAAATCGTCACGTCTTTGGATGCGGAACCAGATACAACCATTACGGATTCTACTGGTGAGGTCGATGACCAAAAACGATCATCCAATCCATCCACCACCACCGATGCAGCCTCCAAACGAAACCAACAAAAGACCAACAACAACAAACCCATCATCAAAATTAGCCAACCCAAACAACCAACTTTCCCCAAAGCAACCTACGATCCATCCATGCGGCTGCAACTAGCGGCGTTGCCACCCGATTCCACCAATAATCATTCATTTGTACGACGCTATTGTGACTTGCAGGGAACCGATTGGTTCCCACGCAACGACAACCGCCAAAACAACCACCAAAACAATAATAGTACGACCCAGTGGCATTCACGGGCACCCTTTGCACTTTTGCTGGGACCCGATCATGGGGGAAGTCACGTACTCTGGCAATTACTATCGACACATCCACAAATGGCCGAGGCGTTGCAATCGCAATTCTTTACGTACAATGCCAAAAAGTTTGCCAAACAAGAAGTTGACGCCAATAGTAAGAGTGTTCGAATTCGAACACGAGCCGCTCGACATGCCTACATGGCACGGCACGTACGGACCCAGCGGCAATTGCAACGGCATTCCACACAAGTCGTCATCGATACGGTCCCCGAAACGTTACTCTACGAACATTTAATGGCACCTCTCATTCTCTGTTCCATGCCATGGGTCAAACTCGTCATGACGGTCCGGCATCCACTGGTACGACTGCTACAACAGTATCGAGCCGCGCAACAACGAGGACTGACGCTGTCATTGGAGAATTGGATTTCGCGCGATTTGGAACGAATGCAACAGGCGGGATTGTTGGTACCCGATGGAGATCAAGCGCAGCAACGACAAGCCGCCTTGAAAGCTATTACCAATCGTCAAGCGTGGGAACGGTATCAGCAACAAACCCCAACCGCGTGGGAGGCATCGGTCGGGCAGTCCCTCTACGAAGCCATGGTGCAACCGTGGTTCCAATGGATGCAAGAAACGGGTCGCAATCCGCAAACCGAAATTGTCGTGGTGCAGCACGAAGTCTTTACGGCGGATATCGAGACGGAATATGCCGCTCTGCTGCGGCAGCTGGGGTTGGCACCTCATGCACCCCCGGCGGCTCTTGTAGAGTCGCTGCGGAAACAAGCCAAACAAGAAGTCGACTCGTGGAAAACGGAATTCGGAGACGAAAAGGTTCGAAAGCAGTTGAAACACTTTTTCCAACCTTACAATAAGCTCTTTGATGAATTCTTGAAGAATACGTATGGTACGGCAACCATTGGCGGCGATGACGACGAAGACGGTGTCCCCCTGCTACGGTGGAAACCATCCTTATGGAAGACTGGGTAGCTAGCTAGCTAGACACTGCACTAACAATTTTGAAATAATATGATGAGGACTCGATCGCCCGTCGAGGCAGGTGCTGATTCTGTTCTGGCTAGGCTAGCTAGCTAGGGAGTATGTACAGTCGAGGTTTCGTTGCGTTTTGTTGGCATCCAACAATTGGCTTTTGCGATCGTGTCTCCCGAGGTGTCGCAAGTGGTGCGGCAACCGGTCACACGTGCAATAACGTTGATCACTCTGCTGGCTTGGCATGAACTTACCGAAATCAAACGGAGCTCGCATCTTGAGAATATAGGATCCGCATTTGCTGAAAAGGACACCGGAGGTGTAATAGATATACCGGGCGAGCTGAATTGGAACATGTGCAACACGAGGTATTAGATTTTTCTATCTGAGAAAGTGGCTTGGAAGCTGAAGGGAGTTTAGAGCATGGTGTGCAACGTGAGTTATTAGATTTTCCGTCTGAGAAAGTGGCTTGGCATCTTAAGGAAGTTAGAGGTGTGCAACGCGAGTCATTAGAATTTGTCCGTTTGAGAAAGTGGCTTGGAAGCTTAAGGGAGTTTAGAGGTGTGCAACGTGGATCAATAATTTTTTCCGTCTGAGAAAGTGGCTTGGTTCCGTCTGAGAAAGTGGCTTGGAAGCTTAAGGGAGTTTAGAGGTGTGCAACGTAGATCAATAATTTGTCCGTCTGAGAAAGTGGCTTGGAAGCCTAAGAGAGTTTAGAGGTGTGCAACGTAGATCAATAATTTGTCCGTCTGAGAAAGTGGCTTGGAAGCTTAAGAGAGTTTAGAGGTGTGCAACGTAGGTCATTAGATTTTCCGTCTGAGAAAGTGACTTGGAAGCTTAAGGGAGTTTAGAAGTGTGCGATGTGAGGAAAATATTGGGATCCGTTGTATCATTATGAGAAAGTGCAAGGAATTCGGAAAACGGGGGCCCAAGGGGGCTGAAGTCCATTAGAGAAAACACTAACTCTAAGGTTAGCCAACCAACCAAAGCCCACCACCACCACAATAAATGGCCTCAGAGATCACCGGGGTCTGCCCGGTATATAAAGAAGTTGTTACGACCGGGTTTTGCAACCATATTGTTTTTCTCCGAGTTTGGATTATTCTTTGCCTTAATTCCCATCATGATCAAAATGATTGAGACACAAAAACAAAACTTACACACCTACAACTACAGCCCCGAGTTATTACCGGTAGATAGTGCCATTGAAGGAGCTTGATCAACATGCCGTCAACCAAACACGACGATGATGCTCATCTAGCGGCGGGACAGAGAGATACTGGTTCCAGTAATAAGGGCCAGCACGGGAACAGCCAACCGCAGCCAACGAGCAGGAAAGAAACTGCTGCTTATCCTCATAAAAAAACTGAACGTCTAATAACGGATTCAGACGAGATGTGCTTGAGGACTACCCACGAGCTAGGGCTCGGGTATGCTGCTTATCCTCGTAAATCCACCAGTACAATGCAAGACCAATCACCCTCAGTAACTGAAGAACCTCCAGAAGAACTCGATGTCATTGGCAAGGCTCTCAGAGTCCGTGCGACCAGAAGCACGTGCGAAGGTACTGATGCGGATCATCCCACGTCTACGGAAGATATGGCTGGCAAACCCGGCAACCTGGACTCGTCCTCGTGCAACCAAGATCAAGATGAAAGCAAGGATGGACAGCAGGAACAGAAGAAAGAAGAACAGCAGAAGAATGAAAAGGAGGAACAATCCTTTTTGGCGGAAGCCAAGCGGTCTATTGCCTATCCAGCAGCAAAGAAAAAGAAACACCAACAGGATCCTCCATTGCCCACGTCTACTACTACTGGTGCCACTACAGCCCAAAAAGTCATCACCGAAAGTGCCATGTTGGTAGAAGAAAAACGAAACATTGCATATCCCAAAAAGTGCACATCAGTTCCTCAGACAGCTGCCGACACCAATGAGCAGCAGCTGATCCACAGAGAGAAGCAAATGATGGCCAATAATACCAAAACTGCTGAGGCCAGTGCCCTCTTGGCAAATGAAAAGCGAAACATTGCCTATCCAAGAAGTGGGCCATCTGGTAAGAGCAGAGCCACCGGGGTTCAAGGAGATAGGTCTGGCAATGTGGTACCTTTACCGGTACAGGCCGATTCTACAAACAGCAGCAGCCAAGGGTGGACCAGCAAAGCTACCACCATCAATGCTCCACTCCTACAAGCTGCAAAGAGGCTTATCAAATATCCAAGAGGAGAGACAAAAAGAACTGCAGAACGGAGAAAGCTACTAGCTTTTGAGAAAGAAGCCAGAGCATCCAAGGAAAAATCTAGTGATTGGTCCCACAGTGACAATCTCCATCGAAGTACTGCAGAAAAGTCCGAAGGAAAGAAAATTACAACACATCTTTCTACCACAGCCCCCCAGATTATGGAAGAAACACTGGACCCTCAGGACCTGGCAAAAATTGTGGAAGCCCGCCTAAAAGATTCGGATGCCAGTCCAACAGAGCAAGAGTGCATACTAAATCTTCATCCCACAACCGCAGTACCACAGGCTGTTTCCGCCACGGAAAAAACGACAGAATACGTGGAAGACAATGTAGCAATAGTTGATCTGGTCAGAATAGTGGAGGCTCGGCTCCAAAATGCAGGTCTTGTCCAACCCGAAAATACCACCACTCCAGAACGGGACGACACCCAAGGCGCAAACAGGCGTCCTCTTGCACCCACACAAAATGTCAATCCCCGCCCGGGGGCGTATGCTGGTGCTCCAGGAATGGACCTGCAACGTGCAGAAACACTGAGATTCTCCCTTGTAGGTGCCACTGCTAATGGACCTTTGGTCAGCCAGACTAGCTCTTCTAGTGAACAGTGGAAGCAGATTGGCAGGTGGCTACAGCATTGGCCAACCAACGCACTCCTACAGAATCCAGCAGAGGGCTTGCAGTGGCAAAGTTGGTTGATGAGGATGACAACATTGCACCAGAAGATCTGCCCCAAGCAAAAAAAAAAAAACAACAAAATCTTTATAACGGATATGGCCCCAATGGACGGATCATCACTGTGCTGCAGCCGAAGCTTTGGGTAACCGCTCCCGGCCGAAGCGGGGATTGGTTTCACAGGAGACCACCACTGGTTCCCTCACCGGCACCACCACTCCCTAGGGGAGATGTGCATTTAAAGTTACATGTAAGTATAAATGGCATATCTCGTGTGGATTTGCCGGACATATATTCTAACTGATTTGTGGGTTTGGCCGAATGGATTCAGGAGAGTTACTTGGTGGGTTGGATGGAGGAGAAAAGGAGGGACGGAAGCGGACGCAGGAGGAATTGGAAGGATGGGAAGTGGGGTCCTGCATCAATTACCAGTCTCAAGCTGTGTGGCTAACTCTCTTCAAGGACTGTTCCCAAGTGTTGATCCATTGTCGGATTGATGCCGTGGCCATTGGGATCTTGTGTTGATTGGTGTTTGGAGAAGCCATGCCTGTTCGTTCTGAGGTTTCCGGTGAATTTTCATATAGCAGCTGAAGTTCATGGATAACTGTCGGTTGGCTGCCTGTGCCTTGGTTTGTGCGTCTTTGCATGCCGATCATGATTCCTGGCCTCCAGAGTTCGAACCACTGGTTGAGCAATTCTTGAATAATTCCTGTGAGCCAGGTTTGGCCATTTTTTCCGATGTGTTTTGAGATTGCATTCCTTAAGGTGTTGATCCTGGCGTTGCACCCACTGTTTGGATAGTCGTCCCTTGAGGACTGATCCCAACCGATGGCTCTTGGGCGTTTGCGATATCGCAACACTGTCATCGTATTAATTCCTGTGGTATCTTCTCCATCGTACTTTTTGGAGTGCTGAGAGAAGAAGTGTTTGTAGCATTGGGTGAGTGTTGTGCTTGTCGGTGTATTTCTTGAGTGCCTTCTTCCATGCCGTTCGTTCTGATTGTCGCTTGGGGCATCTCAGGACGTTTTCTCTGTTTTCTTCTGGGGCACCACAGGATGCGCATGCAATGGATATTTGGGGTGGTATTTGTTGACACGTTTACCGACGGGTGCCAATTGCAAAGGTACTTGTGAGGGAGGTGCGATGGTATCCAAGCGATTGAGTGCCCTCCCATTGCATTTCCAGTCGATATCTTCAAATGTGTCGCTGTCCCACTCAGTTTATTCATGAGAAACTGTTTGTGTTGAGGCACCGATCCTGCCGTTTGAGTTCGTGTTTCAGATTGTGTTGTGATGGTTCCACCTGGAAGATTGAGCTACACCCACTCGTTGGAAGAATTGGACTTGTGTGTGGTCGAAGTTTGGGTGGTCCAACAACCATTGGTTGGCTAGGCCATCGGCGTGACATTGAGTTGGGCTTCCAGCGTTAATTCATCATATGGTTTCTCATCGTCCTGATGGCCTTTGATGTGTTTGATTTTAGGGATGGAATGGCCGGTTGGATTTGTTGTAGAGTTTGTCGAATTTCGGCATAATGTCCCACTCAGCGGATAAGTACTGTTTGGAAAGATCCTGTGAATTTGGAGTATTTCACTGTGACCTCAACCATTGATTTGTTATCACAGAAGCAGCCATGCCTGTGGATTGTATGTCTGTTGAGTGAATCGTGGTCATGTGGTGGAGGAATCGAAAACCGGACAACATCCCGTATCCTTCGGCTCGGTATGAGTTCAGTTGGTAACCAAATGCCGGACCGTTGCACTGAGCCAAGCGGGTACCTTGGGGGTCACTGAGGATCCACCCAAAAGATCCCTTACCCTCGGGAGCTGACCCATCACAGGCCAAGATCTGCCCCAAGCAAGAAGTGCCGACAATGCCATCGCCCAGAGTGAAGCCAGAGAGCGAAAACGCATCAGGCAGTTCAGGACTTACCTTTTGCTTGGTTTCCTCTTTGTCCTGGCACTTGTAGTGATTTTGATTGCCACATTCTCATCACGAAAAAAGATGGTCGAGACAGCCATGCCATCTCCCTCCACAAGTTCCATCCCATCCGCGGCACCAACTTCTTATTCAGAGTACTGGCTGTTGCTTTTCCCTGAATCAACAGTCTCTGCAATTCAGGAGGACCCAGAATCACCCCAGTCGATGGCATTTGACTGGCTCATGGAAGAGATTGACATCCTACACAACCTTTCGGAACAGAGAGTTGTGCAGCGTTTTGTTCTTGCAACTTTCTATTTTGCCAACAGTGCAGAACATTGGTACTCAAATAGTCACTGGCTCAACCACAGTGTTCATGAGTGCCTTTGGCATTCAAGTTTGGAGGCATGGTATTTCTTTTTTGAGGCCAGCATAGTTTTCCCACTGGATTACCTCAGTCCCTGTGAGCAAGAACCAGCTGGATATCTAGAGGATGGTATCTTGTACCAGGGAGATGGAATCATCAAGCACTTTTGGTTGTCATTGAATGGTCTATCAGGATCAGGGATTCCGCCAGAGCTCTATTTGCTTACCGACCTCAAGAGCTTGGCATTGGATGGAATAAACCTTACCAGCACCATCCCAGAAGAGCTTTCTGGCCTTTCCAATTTGGAGTACCTTTCCATGAATGACTGTGGCCTTTTTGGCTCCATTCCCGAAGCAATTGGGCGATTGTTGAAACTTGGAACCATGTACTTTGCCCTCAACTCCCTGACGGGAACTGTAAGTGGCAACTTATGATATATCTGGCAGATGGTCTGCAATAACTTATTTGTTGACTTTCCACATGTATGGTTCCCAGATTCCGTCATCCCTGTTTTCCCTGAACTCCATGAGAGCCATTGTTCTATCAGAAAACCTGATTACAGGACCAGTACGTAAACCAGGTGACTAAGTTGTGCTGATTTGGTGGCACTGACTATTTCTGCTGGTCCGGTGTCTGATGTTATAGGTACCAACAAGACTTGGATTGCTAACTGACTTGCTGGGTGTTGCATTTGACTCCAACCTTTTCACTGGGACAATTCCCACAGAATTTGGGCAAATAACTTGGTTAAGCTCCCTGCTCCTGCACGACAATATTCTGAGAGGCACTGTAAGTTTTCACCAGGGCATCGTTTGATTCTCCTTGTTTGCGATCTTGAAACCTCACCAGCACATTCTGGTATATAGATCCCAACCGAGCTTGCAGTTCTTGCAGACATGGAACTTCTGCAACTGCATAACTCGGGTCTTTTAGGGACAATCCCTAGATGGCTTGGGAACATGAAATCCCTGGACACATTGACAGTGTCCGAGAACTCCTTTACTGGGACTGTATGTCAATTTTTGTGCCAGTCCTGTCAAGTTTCTCCCTCTGCTAACATGCAGTCCATCAATTCTTCTTTGCCATCTCTAGATCCCAACAGAGCTTGGCCTGCTTACCAAGTTGTCTGCCTTATGGCTTGATTCGAATGCTTTGTCGGGCACAATCCCAAGCGAATTTGGAATGTATGAGGAAGCCCTTGTGTTGTGCTTCGAGAACAACAACCTGATAATAACCATTCCTACAGAGCTTGGTCGGCTTACTGGTATATTGCAGTTGTTGCTGTTTGACAATGATTTGACCGGAACAGTGCCCCTGGAGCTTGGCAATGTTCCTTTCCCTGCACCTTATGGTCAAGTCTTGTTGCATGGAAATGCACTTTCTGGCATTATCCCTGAGAGCTTGTGCTCTGCCTACAGTCTTACTTTTGACTGCAGCACCTTCCTGTGCGGATGTGACTCGTGTATCTGTTCCGACAATAGAACATCTCCAATACTGGAGAGAGAGACTTCCACTGAAGATGGTCAGCTACTGATCCAGGCTAACCAAACTGGGGGGAACCTAACTGAACGCTGAACAGAATGACTTTTTGGTCGTCTTATTCATCACAATACTTCAAGTTTGTATAAGTTTAACCCTCTTTGGCACTATTAATAGTTCTGCTCGTGTAAATGTTCTAGACTACCGGTACCTTTCCGGAAATATACGTTCAGCTACTAGTTTTTAGAGTCAAGACTGTCAGAATAGTTCAATAAATAGCATCATTGCGTCCTCCCCTTGCATCGAGAGGCAGTCTACCTTTTCCTGGGTCCTTGGGTGAGTGGTAAGCATGCTGTTCAGTGACTCCCGTTTTCACACTCTTCTCGCAAAGACAGGAAGCTCTGCAGAGGCTTTCACACGGACTGGAAGGTGACAGCGTATATCTTAGCCGTGCGCATTGATCAGCTCGCAACAATAACCTTCGAAGCAGCGCCATGTTAGTTGTCTGGTCTGGGTCGTAATATAGCCACTGCCATTTTGGTACGTAGCTGTGGAGTTTTTTGGCATGAACTTGGGTTCAGAAAGTCCTGAAATTGCTTGTCTGGGTGCTTTGAACTCGTAGTAGGTTGCATCGCTCCCTCGGAGGCAACGCAAAATGACAAAAGGACCATACCGCTTCGCGCAAGACGACCCTTGTCTTTCCGTATTCGAGGTTCGTCCTGTCGACAAGAGGTTTCGCCTCATCTGCTCGACTCGACTCAACTAATCATGCAATCTCGATCTCTCGCCCACAGTCGGCCGACTTGATCGTCGTAACGAACCCGCAGTGTCCTGTTGGTTTCAAAGCGTCGCGACCGAGACCGCAGCGTCGTATTCCCCTCTCTCTGTTTGGGGCTCTACTGGTCTGGTACCGTAAAACGCGTGGAGTAGTGGAGATGTTTCCGCGTTCCCAACTCCCAGACATGCAGCAACGAGGGCATCGAGGCACTGCTCGATGAGTGCATACCAGTTCCGGTACATGCCTTCGAGTACCGAATCAATCCGCTTTCCAGGATTCTGTTTCGCCCCTGGCAAAGCAATGATGACAATACACTCGTGCTACTATTAATAGTACCGCTTCGAGCAATACTACCCTCGTCTTTCCGTATTCGAGGTTCGTTCTGTCAGCTAAACGTCTCGCCTGCCTCGTCAGCGCGACTCCAGTGTCATCATGCAGTCTCGATCACTCCATAGCCAGACACAGCCAGCCAGCTAGTCGACTTGATCGCCGTAACGAACCTGTACTGTTCGTTTCTACCGGTATGCGCCTTACCATGATTCGATTGAGATTCGATCATTCAACTGATCTCAGCTTGTTCGGGAAAATGATTTTCCGGAAAATGATTTTCGGAAAATGATTTTCTCAAGATTGATCTATGGACACGTCATGTACGACTAAACTCGGAGAAGTTGGTTTCACGCTTCGGAAGAGTGAAAGTTGCCTCCGGTAGTTGCAAGACGCACATGTGTACGTTTCAAATGTCCCCGAACTTCTCCGTCCTCTGTGCGTCCATTTCTCACTCCCACACTTCGAGCTCACAAATCGAAAAAGAAAAGCAAGCTCACAGATAGAGAGAAAGCCACAATTGACACAAAGTAGCAAAAGACAACCAAGAAAACAACAATCGAAACGATGAAGACAACTCCATTCCCCTTGAAGTTTCATTCTCCTCGCTGCGGTTACGCCACCGCCTTTTCACATCAGGAATTCTGCGACCAAAATCCCGATACCTCACGCCCCGTGGATACGAGCAACGAGTACAACCTGGTGGCCGGAGACGACTTTCAGGAACCCCTCCATTTCTGGCAACTCTACAGTGTGATTGGAGAAGAACCCATCCACCAGATTGTCACGGACTTTTACACTCGCGTCTTTGACGACCACGACGACCCGTCCTTCCGCGATGTCTTTACCCGTTTGGCGCCCTTGAACCATCACATCAAAGTCCAAGTCGCCTACTGGATTGATGCCATGGGAGGCGGACGTCGCTATCCCGGAGGTGAGTACCGATTGAACTTTCATCACCAACACAATGCTCAGCAGGTCATGACCGCGCAGGGCGCCAAGCGATGGATGTACCACATGCGCGGGGCCTTGGAAACCATCAAGTTCGAAGATCCACGCGTCAAGCCATGCATCTTGGAATTCTTGACGACCAAAATGTGCAGCTATGCGCAAAAGTTTGGATGGGAGTTTGACGAGAAGGACATGGAACTCTACCAGGATTAGATTCCATGGGTGACGATGGGTGGCTGCTGCAGCTCGCGTCCAGTGGGAAGCAACAGTTAGCCACTCATCGTACCGGTACGGAGAACCAAGACAATGAAAGGCAGAAAACGAATCGAATCGAATACATGTATGAGATTATGAGACAGCTTTGGAGTCACAATTAATTTGCAGTAGCGGTAAATACAAGTAGTAAAAGTAGTCATCTCCAACATAGTAGCCAGAGAGCTAGTGGTAAGTACCGGTATGATACGGTAGCGGACACGCCACGGATAAAATCGAATCTCAACCATGTTAGCAGCGTTGACCGGTAGCTAGAGCTAGCTATTGGCAATTGACCAAGCCATCATGGCTACTATTCTCACGAGCGAAAAGAACACGGTAACCGACCCCCCTCGGCCTTCGCAGCAACGGTTCCACTTGTTACGTCTTCCCATTGCGAATACATGTATCTGCCTACTTGATGGAGAGACGGCGCAGCATCCCAAAGCTATTAGGAACGGAGGAACGTTAGCTAATAGATAATCCACCCACTCTAAACCCCTGTTGTTTACCTTAGCTAACTACTGGCCGTTTGCTGGAGCTCACCGGTAGCTCGATGGACACCTGCCAGATGGACCGTATTGAAATGAAACGGTTCCGCGATACCCGAAACAAGCAGCCAAGTCCGCCAAACCACACGAAGGCAAACACTACTACGGTAGTAGCTGGCTACTCCACGTACTAGCTAGCCTATAGACTACGGGTTCAATAAGACTGGACGTCGTCAGCCAGAAGCTAGCTAGCTAGGTAGTGTGCGAGATAGATAGATGGATGTGAAGTGTCTAAAAGTGGTGCTATGCATTATTAGATGCTAATGAACAGAGCCCCAAACAGGCTCGTGGAAGCGTCGTGTTCCCCATCATGATGGATTGATTACAGGGCTCCTGCAGCCGCCAGTTCCAAGTCACCAGTTGCAATGACATCCTTGACACAGCCCTCACGATGGGCCTTGGGCCAGTGAGCGCATGCCTTGGTAGCTGCTTCTTGAGAGATGGTCTTGCCTCCCAACCGTCTTGCGGCTTGTGCTTCAGTGCGGTCAGGCAAGACACAGGCTTGTGGGTACTGGGGTCCACTGACCACATTAAAGAGCATGGGCTCAGTGTCACGGACTTGCCATTCCTTGGCAATCTCATTGGGATCTTCCAGTGTACTGTGAGTATCGCGAGACAAGACATGTCCCGTTTCAAAGTTGCCCATCATACCAGTCGAACCGTGGAATCGTTCCTTCTTGGCATTGTCAATCTTGACCGACACCATATCCTTGAAGGATCGGAGAATGATCTTTTCTTGGTCGTCAATGTAAACCTCGAGGAGGTGTACGTTCTTGGAGGGATTGAAGGCGTTAACCTTGTATCCAGCAATGGTGTTGGGCATCTTGGCGCCTTCGACGCCGTTCAACAAGTACTCTCCAAAAGATCCCATCTCGAGTGTCTCATCACCAATCTGGAGGACGGCCGACTCGATGTACGAGTACCAGTTGCGGATCTTGGTGCGCACGTCAATGTTCAGAGGAAGGGAAGGAGCAAAGTGAGGAGCTTGGACCAAATGAAGATCGCAGGCTCCCATGTAGTCGTAGAATTGGTGTCCAGTCCATGTTTCAAAGTGGGGATCGCCACCGCCGCCTCCTCTGCGAGGACAGTCCGTCAAGGTCAACGTGGAATAGAGATAGGCAGTGTTATCTTGACCCTCTTCGGAGATGAAGTGGTCTCTCAAGGCACATCCATCACAATCCCGGAACCCAAGAAGATCAATCTCGAACTTGACTCCATTAATGAGCTGAACAGTCTGTGGCAGAGGATTGACAATGGAGGTGATGGTGACCTTGTCGGAACATCCAGAACCAGCAGTGAGGTAAGGACAGTCAGTACCACCAACATTTAGAGTTTCATGAATGGCCAAGTTATAGACAAAGGAGTAGACATCACCATTGATCACGACAGACACAACAAGTTCAACAGTATTCACGTGGATTCCAAAGATAGCATTGTTGTGGTGTGTGAGACTACCCAGCTGAAAGACATCATTAACGATGGCAGTGTAAGGCGAAGGAATCGTCTTGGCAGTGGACATCATGGACTTTAGGTCATTATCATTGGCTGGACGTCCCCATGCAATGGAGCCTGTCCCCAGATCGACCAAGTTTGCATCAGAGTTATAGTTCTGGAATTCAAATGTTACGTCGTCGATATTGAGGGAAAAAGTCTCACAGATAATCGGAACGCCGCCAGGGCCAACAACAGAAAGAGGATCCGTTGCAGGTTGGGCGTAGATGTAGCCAGGTAGAAGAGCTAAGAGCGATAGGTTCAAGAACTTCATGGTTGAAATTGCTGTGGTGTGTTACAGTAGAGGGGTGGTGTGGTTATTATTAAATTTTCGTGTGTAAGCTCAGGAAAATTGTGAGAAATGCTGGAGCCGAATGAATGAATTCCCGAGAGCTCAATGCTGCCGGTTTTCTGGTTGGGTCACACCACGATCAGATGGGCCTCTGGATTGCAAAAGAGATGCTTTCTATTCTGCCGTTCACTACTAGTCTAGTACAGTTTTACTCACTGTGTTACCAACTGCCAAAACCGCAAAAAAGTGAGATGCTCATCAACGACTTTCCGACACATACGGTACATTGCAACAGTAATAGTCTCTGCCTGGTTATTATCAGAAAGCGGAATCTTAAGTGCAATGGTCCTGACTGGAATGAGACTGAGAGTGTTAGTGATATGTTTCAATCGGTACTCAAAGGTTATACTATACATCAGGCACAGCATGAGCCCAAGACTGTCGTTATCTGTTTTAGTTAGGTAAGCCCAGGACATTTCACTAGGGACTCATTCTCATCGAAGGCTTCCATCAAATGAGATGCTAGCATGATGGGCATAAGTCAACAAGCAAGAATGATTCAATCGAATCAACCAAGAAAGTTGCGATTAGATGCATGCAACCAAGTCACCGGTACTCTGGAGTACTAGCTAGCTAGTAGAGCCTGACTACTGGTAGCAGGCGGACAGTTTTTATTGAGCCACCACAGACGCAAATGAACGCACAGGAAAACCGTGCCTGTCCACTGGTATGGCTCTGTACCGCGCCAAAACAGCCCCATCCACCAGGTAAGATAAGATAGATAAGATAGATGATTGTGTACCATACCAATGCCGCTTCCCGGATGGACCGGTGCCGTTACGTTCCAGGTTCCAGGCAAGGCTCTCCATCCAGTTTTTACGGCTTCAAGTCATGATAAAAATAAATGTGAACCAAGACCTGTTAATTAAAAAGACACCTGGAGTAGCTACGTACGACTACTGGGGTAATGCTTTATGCTTTTTACCAAGCTCGAGGACTTTTCCTCCTGTGGACTAATAATAATGTCAGTGACGTTGCTCGCTAGCTAGTAGGAGTGACTACGAACTCTAGCTAGCACTGTCACTCTGATGAATGAAACTGTCATCCAAAATCCAAAATGCTTTGGAAACAGCTTTTGAAACCAGTCTCACATTTTGGGAGCAACTCCCACCTTCATCGTCTTGCACAGATCCACATAGACTACCGGTACATGTATCTGTTCACTACTTACGGGTGCCAGTACCGTACAGAAATGCTACCGGTACCGGGTAGCCAGCTGGCTAGCTAGCTACGACATGTACCGGTATGCATAGCTAGCTAGCAGTACGCGTAGTGGCTACAGGTTGGATTGACTTGCCGCTCGATCGCTTTGATCCCTCAGACAATTTGGACTCCACTCGACTATCCAACATGCACAGTTGCTTCTTGTATCGTACTACATGTACTTTTTGCTTGGATCGAAAGTTCTTTAGTAGTCCCAGGTAAAAATTCCAGCAAAAGCGAAAGACTTGACAACGCAGGATGCGGTCCTGGTACCAGGTCCTGGTACCGGTACAGTACGTACCGCTGGTGGTCATACGGTTGAATCAATCAATCGATTCTAGCTAGTAGGAGCAAAGACTCGGAGGGACTAGATTTACGGTACGCACTGGTCAAATTGTCGCATCGGCGATAGCAAAGTGCTGATAGAGTGCGGCACTCTACTCTGCCTCTACTAGATGGCAGTAGCAGAAGAGCATCTGACATCTGAGTGGTCCCTCGGCTGCATTGGAAGATCTTGGCTACCGTAGTACTTGTATCTTTCTGGTGACACGTTCTCACAGCTTTTTGCGGTGTTTCGGCCCACCAGTCGCTCCCTTGAGAGGGTCGATTGATCATTCTAGATTCAATTCCCGAGTCGAGTTCACTCAACAGTCGGGCAAAACGTCCATCCCCTCTCTCTGCAGGTCCAGCCCGAGAGAATGAGTCTACCGTACGTACTCGAAGAAGAGTGCTTGAATAAAACTACGAGCTGGCTATGTCATACAAGTAGAAGTGCCGAAATGGATCTGATGCACAGATGGGAGACAAGGCAAGCCGGCAATCGTTTCCCTGCGCCTGGTCCTCGCTCGATATTAGCTAGCAACAGTATGGTTCCATTGCTGGAACGGATGCTATGACAATATTTCAATGGGCCTTGCAACTTCAACTGGAGTCGAGTCCATTCCTTTGCTTCATCGTAGCCAGGACAAAGGCCTGTACGAAACGGTATCGAAATGGACTCCACTCTTGCTAGCTTGGCTTCCGTTCAGTTACGCATCTTGGAATCTGAGACTCAAGGTCTACAAGAAAACATGAACAGGCTTCCACGATGTTCGTGGTATCATACCGTACACCTGCTACGGTGTCACCAACGGCTAACCATTGATGATCCTGGTTCGTAGTACCGGTACATGTAACCCCAAACCCGAATCGAGTTTCTTGCCTTCCGCTGTTGTTTGCTACTTTCGACCTGAAGCCGGGCACGAAATTCTTCAACCTTGAGCTCGGAACTGTTCGCCTGTGAATTTGGCTGGCGAGGGTTAGCCAAAAGGCAACTGATACTATAATAATGCAACAGGCTATGATGATAAATCAAGAAAGGATATCCAGGAAACAGAGCTAGTACTACACTAGCTCATGAGCAGAAGAAGAGACCAAGCTCTCTTCTCTTTACAGAGCACCCAGAGCTGCCAGTTCCAAGTCACCAGTGGCAATGACATCCTTGACACAGCCCTCACGGTGGGCCTTGGGCCAGTGAGCGCATGCCTTGGTGGCAGCTTCTTGGGAGATGGTCTTGCCTCCCAATCGTCGCTCAGCTTGTGCTTCGGTGCGGTCGGGCAAGACACATGCTTGTGGGTGCTGGGGACCACTGACGACATTAAAGAGCATGGGCTCGGTGTCCCGAACCTGCCATTCCTTGGCAATCTCGTTGGGATCTTCCAGGTATGTGTGGCCATCACGAGACAAGACATGCCCAGTGTCAAAGTTGCCCATCATTCCCTTGCTGTCATGGAATCGCTCCTTCTTTGCATTGTCAATCTTGACTGAAACCATGTCCTTGAAGGATCGGAGGACGATCTTTTCTTGTTCATCAATGTAAACCTCAAGGATGTGAAAATTCTTGTTGGGGTTGAAGGCCTTAACTTCAAATCCAGCAATGGTGTTGGGCATCGTAGCACCTTGAACTCCATTCAGCAAGTACTCTCCAAAGGATCCCATCTCAAGAGTCTCATCACCAATCTGGACAACAGCCGACTCGATGTATGAGTACCAGTTGCGGATCTTGGTGCGGACATCAATGTTCAAGGGAAGTGAAGGAGCAAAGTGAGGTGCCTGAACCAAGTGAAGATCACAAGCTCCCATATAGTCATAGAACTGGTGTCCAGTCCATGTTTCAAAGTGGGGGTCACCACCGCCGCCACCTCGATGAGGACAGTCCGTCAAGGTCAACATGGCGTACAGATAGGAAGATGAAGCTGCCCCCTCTTCCGAGATGAAATGGTCCCTCAAGGCACATGTGGGGCAATCCCGGAATCCAAGAAGATCAATCTCAAATTTAACTCCATTCATGAGATGAACAGCCTGTGGTGTAACACTTGCGAGTGCGATTTCGACCTTGTCGGAACACCCAGCACCACCAGTGATGAAGGGGCAGGCTGTACCGCCAAGATTTGGAGTTTCATGAACGATCAAGTCATAGACAAATGGGTATGCCACACCCTGGATCCAGACATTCACAACAAGTTCAACAGTATTCACGTGGATTCCCAAGATAGCATTGTTGTGGTGTGTGAGACTACCCAGCTGAAAGACATCATTAACGATGGCAGTGTAAGGTGTAACAACACTCTTGGCAGTGGAAAGCATGGACTGTTGGCCATTGCCATTGAGAGAGGCAGGGGCTGGATCTCCCCATGCAATGGAGCCTGGCCCCAGATTGACCAAGTTTGCATCAGAATTATAGTTCTGGAAGGAGAAAGTTACGTCCTCAATATCGAGGGAAAAAGTCTCACAGATGATGGGGACACCAGCAGGGTTAAGAATAGAAAGAGGGCCAGTCGCAGGTAGAGCCAGGATGGAGCGAGGTAGAACGGCCAGTAGAGCTAGATTCAAGAACTTCATGGTCAAGCTGAGATGCTGAGCTGAGATGAGATGAAGACGAGAGGAGTGAGTTGAGTTTCGATTCGAGTTGAGTTGACTTGTGAGAAAAGATGAGGCTCTCCGCAGCAGCAACGTCTGAAGTCTGAAGGGTTTTGAATGATGTATCCGAGCTCCAGACAACCGGTGGATATGCATAGTCGAGAGAAGGACAAGCTGTTTACCGACGACATCACGCGTTGCTTAACTCTTCATGTTTTAGGAAACGGAAGTTTTCTGCCCCTATAATCTTGTGTACACAAGGTTCAGAGTTCTTATCAATGTTCCACATTATTCGTGATCGTGGCATAAACACTATGAATAATGCCTACTGTTACATTCGTGATTCATTCTTTATCCTTCACTTTTGGATCAGATAGGCCTCGTGTAAGTGGCTTTGTCAAAAAACAACGAATTGTGAGAGGGTTATTTGGAAAGGACACTGAGACACTGAGACGTGATTCAGGCATTTAAAAAAACAATTCTGTGACAGAATAAAATCAAAATGTGAGATGCTCTTGTCAGAAACTTACCGTGCTTTCGGAAATGGCTTTATCCTTTTAAAATGTCCGTACAGTTGTACCAGGTACAGATGTACCGGTAAATTGGCAATTGGCGCGATTCGTGAGGTTTTGAATGAACCAGTCGAGCTGTGGAGGCTGGAGCAAGATGGGAGTGGGAATCAGCGTGAAGGTCTGCGCTAACTTGGTGGTCGTCCGTGCTTGAAGGAAGGGTGCTTGTGGTGTGGTACTGTACACAACACCTTAGTTTTAGACTGTATGATGTTTGGTTCATACGTACCGGAAACCGGAACAGAGACATTTATCTGACTATCTGCTGATACGACCGTCGCTTCGAACGATCGAACGAACGAACGAACGAACGATAGCTTCGAACGATAGCTTCGAATCGGCGACAATGGCGCTGCTTCGTACGGATGAACGAACGACGCTGCTACCGGTCTTCCTCTTGTTCTTGTGCTTCTTGTGCTTCTTTCGATCGCTAGCTACCACGCCTGATAAGCCGAAATTCCACAGTGGTAGTAGCAGAGGAGGAGGTGTTGATAGAGTACTGTAGTTGCTATAGTTGTGTGTTACTACTTGGTTGTTGTTGTTGTGGTTGATTCTACTGTAGCTGGTACATGTAACTGGATAGTCATTCAATCGCAGTCACGGGTCATTTTCGGTCCACGACTGCATTGGAACGGGACCGAGGATCCCTGGAACGGGACCAACGATGCTTGGAACGGGACCGAGGATGCTTGGAACACGACTGATTCTGGTTTTTACCCGTACCCACACCACGGCTTCATTACTTCATTGACCGCTGCGATCTTCCGCAGCCTGGCACTGGTATGGTACCCAGGTAAAGGATACCCACGTGCCAACATGTTCAATGAACAGCTGTACGTGTACTGGTACTCAAATCTCATGGCCACTATGATCTTTCATCAGAATTACATGCTTTTATCAGTTGTCACTGTGGGGGCTTGGATGACCATACAGCGTAGCTATTGCTAAAGTAAAACACACTGACTGGTTACGAGAGGCCCGTTCATCCTTCCCTCTCACATCTACCATACCTGATGCTAAAGTAAGTTGAGTGATGTGTAGCAATGGCTGCATGCGCTGAGCAATGTGGCAATGCGCACGGTTCGGGATGGCGTTTTAGTTAGGTTCTGATGCACACACACCGTACAGGATGGATACTGTAGACTGCCTTGCAAGTTGAAAGGGGATCTAGCTCGTTCTTTTTTGGCCAAGACTCGGTGCAGACCCACTTGACAGACCTTGTGGGTGTACGAAACTGCATGGCTCGCATGGCATCAAGACCGGGGCGCGAGTGAATGATCCTGTAGAGTATTACCGGTTCCAGCTTCTTGCCCTGATATTTTGGCCTGGCGAGAACGCTTCCAACCATCCACAGTTAGAGCTTTATTCCGTTTCGTCCCTGATGTAGCTAGCTCATTCGAGCACGATAGTACCGGTATCCAAGCCTTTGGGTAGTGGGTAGGTCGCTCGAGCCGCACCGGTAACTGTGCCTATCGCAGCCCCAGCGAATGATTTGATTCGATTTGATTCCATTCGATTCATGGCACTACCTACCTGGATAGCTTAGCAAGAAGGACTGTGGTTTCGTGGAAGGGATCTCATTGCCACAGCATCCAGGATGGAGGGGGCAGACTGAGTCATTCGTTGTCACTGGCTATCATGCACGCGGCTGTTTGGCAAGCTCTGCCATTGCTTCACCCAAGCTGTATCGTCGTCCGGGCTCCATGGCCAGGTGTTGCAATCTGGACAACTCACCAGCCTTGAGCCTGTACCAGAACCGGTAATACCTGTCACTATAGTAATGAAGCTGCATGTAGCGTACATACGTGCATGTGCAGCAGAACGGACAGATTGTGGACCTCCAAACCGGTATAGCGCAATGCTGTCCATCAGTCTGGCTAGTTGTATGCGTACCTCTTGGTGATTCTCGTCCATGCCCTGTCTCGAACAGACTTCCCACAGCGGTGCTGATTGGTTGGTTGATGCTGCGGGCAGTCGAAGCCAAAGCCACGGTCAAAAATCAATCATGGAAGGGTCAGTGGGCACGTACACAAATTACACCCACACAGCCCAATGCAATCAAACGTCATCAATTCGGCGAAACAGAGCTCGTTGGGAATCCTTCCCGATAGATTGGGGTTGTCGTTAATATAGACATGAGTCAAGGAACCCTTGCCCGTAAACTCCGCCAGGCATCCCACCTCCAAAGGAACGGTCCCACTCAGATCGTTCTTTTCCAAATCAAGCTAATCGCGTCGATGGCAATGCGTTGTGTAAGAGGCGTACTGGTACGAGCTCGCTCTATCGCCGCCAAGTATTCGCGACCAAGTGTTACGTACCAACCTGAGCTTCGACAACAACCCAATCTCGGAAGGAATGTGGCCGACCAAGGAATTGTTTTGGAATTCGATTGCATCAATGGACCTGCAACCCCCTAGTTCGGTGGGTATCTACATCGATACGAGTTGTTGGTTGTAGGTAGAAGCGGCGTGGCGAGCGCATTCGTGAGTGTTGCAAGCATCCGAGGGGGTCCGTCTCGATCGTTGGCAACTGCACTGCGCCTACTTACATTTCCAGTAAACCGATTCCCTTGCAGTGAGGGCCATTCTAGCGCGGAAAGAAGCCCCAGCTGCGTTGGCAAGGATCCGACCAGTCCAGAGGATTGCACGTCCAGATGACGCAGGTTGCTCAAAAGACCAATTTCCGTGGGAAGCTGGGAAGGAAAAAACGCAACCCATGAGGATTTTTTGTGTGTGATGCGACGGACACAACGTGGCACACAATGACAAAAGAATGCATGCAGAGAAGGACTCACGGTACCCGTCAAAGAAAGAAAGTTGATGTAGAGATATTGCAGCAGCGATAGATTGCCCAACTCTGTCGGGATAGCACTCTCAAAGAGCGTCCCATCCAGCAAGAGATACCGTAGCTCCGTCAAATGCCCCAACATCGAAGGGAGCTGGTAAGAAAATGAAAAGGCAAAACCCTGTGAGGATCTCCCCCAAACAAACAGAAGTTGTTGAGTGTGGCGGTCACATTCACATTCGTGTACGTACATCTTCCGTCACGGGAGCGAATTGCAGCAAGAGCGCTTGGAGTTGGCTGCTCGTGAAGAGTGCGGGAGGTAACGATCCCGTGATTTGGGTTCGTGCCAAACTCAGTCCTTGCAAGTGATTGTTGTTGGAAAATAGCCACGATGGAATCGATCCCGTAATTCCCGGATTCATTTTCATGGCAATGGTCTTGAGATCTGGCAACAAGGGGAGTAAGGATTGTAATATTTGATCGAAATCTCCAACGAGATTGTTTCCATTTAACCAAATGTGTCGAATCGTCCCCTCTGCCAGTGTATTTTCTTCAAAGGTGATTGGATCCTGTTCGCAGATGTTGTTGCTGTTGGTGTTGTTGCGCACAGCAGTGGTAGTTGTTGTTGTGTTGATAATGCTGACTGTATCGTCAAAAGATCCCGAAGACCACCAGAGACACTCGTGTACGTGATATTTGAGCCATCCCTCCTTGTGTGTCCAGTAGGTTCCATCAGTGGCATAGAACAAGGCTGCCAATGTCCAGCGTTGGACGATTCGTAGGGCCGTGAGTTGTGTCAATTCGTGTCGTTTGGGATTGTTTTTGGAAATGAGCCATTGATACGCCCGGGCTTGTGGCGATGATTCTGCATCATCCCGAGTAATGACTGTCACCGTTTCGAGTGGCAACAGTGTCAAGACGTATTCGTCAAAGGGCAATGTGGGTGCGACGGTGGTGGTCGGTGCCATGGTGGGCTGGGTGATTATGATTGTCGCGTCGTCATGGTTCGATTTGGAACCTCCGCTCGCAGTCACAGCAATGACAATGCCGAGAATGACAACAATAGTGAGGCAGAGTAGACCTCCCACGACAATCCACGTGTTTTTTCGGCTGCATTTTTGTGGATTGGTGTCATCGTCATCGTCGTGGAGTGTCATTTCATCTTGCCATTCGGCCATGGCATCCATTGGCTGTGGGTGGGTATCATTATTGTCATTGTCATTGTCAACATTGTTTTGCATCGTATCGGTATTATTGAAATTCCAATTGTTTCCTTCGGCGAGCAATGCATCTTCTTGGGCTCGTCGTGCCATTCCCAATTCGACGCAAGATGTGGTTTCGACGGTTGAAGGCGTGGATTGTTGAATAGTATCTCCCGGACCGTCCATTCTGTAAGCTCCCGGTGGCAATACTTGGACTCGTCGTGGACCATCGCGTCGCAAGGAGGGCGGGCTGGTAACAGTTTCGTCTTCTGCTATGGAGGATTGCAGTAAGTCTTGTTCTGTTGCATTAGAGTTGTTGTGGTTGTGATGGTTGTGGTGGTTGTTTTCTGAATTGGTAAGATCCACCATTTGTAGATTGTTCTGTTTGATGTGCAGAGTATGCTGTATTTGCTGTTTTGCAAGACTGTCAATGGAATGATTTGATCCAGCCAGAATCATAATGCTCTGGTCTTGCTGTTGCTGTTGTTGTTTTTGGAATTGCTGTGGCAAATCATCTTCCTGCACTTGTCTGATTCTGGTGGACAATACATGCCTCATGAGGTCTTGCTCATCCTGTTCTTCTTGAAAGTGTTGTTGTTCTTCTTGAAAGTGTTCTGCAGGAATGGAGTTGTTGGTAGAGCTGTTGTTGTTGCTGTAATCTCTAATTTTGGCAGCCACCTTGTTAGCATATTCAGGTTTGTTGAATGATCCTCGGATTCTTCGTTGTACCACTTCTAGAATGTCAAATTCTTCTTCTGCCTCTGAGCCTTCTTGATGTTCCTCTTGTTCAGTTTTTGTGTAAGTAGCAGTACTAGAAGTACTAGCAGTACTTTGGTTGGTATCTCTTTGAGTTTTTGGACTTCTTGACTCAGAATTGTTCATAGTGGTATCAGTCTGTGTATGTGTATTGCTAGTTGTAGTGCCTTCAGTACCAGTAGTATGCATAGACACACTGGTAGACATAGCTGCAGCTAAATTGGCTGCCTGATTGTGAGCGTCTTGTCGATTGCCGAACGTTCGGTTGAGTCGTTCTTGGACTTGTCTAGAATCTCCAACTTCTGACTCTGAGGTGCAAAATTCCTTTTCTTCTTCAGTAGCATCATTGATACCAATATCAATGCTAGTATCAGTATCATTACTACTATCAGGACATGACCTGGGCTGACCATGCCTGCGCCTGTGGGAGTTTCCATCTGTAGCTTGATCTGCACTCTTACTGCCACTGTCACTCATCTTGGCTTCTTTCATCCTCTTATTACTACTTAGTTAGCTGAGTTAGCTTAGTAGTAGCTTAGTAGTAGTCAAGTCAACTTAGCTCAAGTCAACACACTCTATAGTATTTCATTGGAAAGACAGCTAAGACCTGCTGCAATGGGCAAGGCTGAGAGAATGGGGAAGAAAAACAACGGCAAACTGAGGGAATCGAATCGAATCGATGCTGTTCTATTCGACTGACTCCATTCGATTGCTTTCGGTTTCTCCCAATTCGAATTTTTAAATTGAACTTTTCCACGGCATGCAGTCGACCACCACCACGAGAAAGTGATGCCAGTAAAAGAAGACGATCGAGCTGCTGCGTCGATCCACACGGACAGCCTTCGGGATGTCGTTCTTACCCACAACATTCACTGCCCATCGTACCGTACCGTACGGTATCGTACTGCTGCCCGTATTATGAATAGTTCGTTGACGAGATTTGGAACGATCGTAGACTACGTACGGTACGTACACTGTATGTATCCATTGGCGAATCAATCCCCGTTTTATTGTTGTCGTTGAAACGCTTTGACCGCTGCGAGTGGTCAAAACGAGGGTATCCTTGTACGGTATACCTGTCCTTGTCCTTGTCGTCGAATGGGGGGCTCGAAAACCAATCCAACAATGCGCCACTCGAGCGACTGTCACTCGGTTGTTTCGTTTGTGTCTTTCATTATGAGCGACTGTATGGTACTGTAACTGTAAAGTCGACTCGTGATTTGTGGTGAATCATGGCTCTGACCTCAGTGTACAAATCCTTAGATAGCTAACAGGCGTCGCACCCTCTCAGGAGGCCAGTGTGGCCGGTGAGCAGACTTGACTGTGGGAAATACCCGAGCCCTAGCTCGTGGGTAGTCCTCAAGCACATCTCGTCTGAATCCGTTATTAGACGTTCAGTTTTTTTTGTAAAGTCGACTAGCATAATATCGGAGCTACGGTACCGTAGCTATTAATAGAAATGATGCGTTCCAACGCTGCATCGATGTGCGGGATCGATTTCGTTTCTCGTCGAAGCAATTCGTACTCGTGGGTACACGTGCGCGCGCCCCTGTGGATTTGTTGGGTTTCTGTGGCTGCTCCACTACGACCTGCAACTCGGATGGATCTTGTGTGCTGCCACCATTGCCGCTATGCTGAGAAGGACGCTTCTGATTCTGATTATCGTTGTAGGACATGACGGGGTTTGCAGTTTGGCCCTGATCAATGGTTTTCGGAGACATTTCTTCCATTTCAGGGTTCCATACGATTCCAATCCCGATCTTGTTCTGATGTTCAGTTTTCATTGGAGGCATCATTTTCTTGGGTATATTCAAGTGAATTCAATCTCAAAAGAAGGCTAGTAGTGTGGCCGGTGAGCAGACTTGACTTATTGACTGTGGGAAACACGTTGGCCTCGGCTCGTAGGTGCCATATTGGTTGAGCTATCCTCTACCTGGTACTAGCTAGTAGCCATGTTGCAGTGCTTTCACCAGACGCGCCATGGTGGACTGTTCCGTCTCCTGAGACGGCGCTCCTTTTGGTTACCCCCTCAGTTGCACTGCAAAATCGATTGGCTCGCGTTTACTGTGTAAATTAGTGTACCCGCACTTCAGTTGCAGAATCAACGGTCATGTGTATCCGTAAGTACCAAACCTGTACTTAACGTGTTTTATCGATTCGTGGATAAAAAAAACCGTTGAAGTTACTAAGGTTAAGGTTAAACTAATTCAATGGCATGCGCACGTACCGGTACTGGTACAGGTCCAGCCAAATCCATCATTGAAGGTGCAGCACTGATTCTTCTCCTCGTGGAATTTCTATGGCAAACAGGAGAGAAATCCAAGCTTGGCCGACAAGAATGGTGTTGAACGATCAATCGAATGGATCGCAATGAGGTAAGCTATTATCAAGAGTGTTAATTGAAGGTACAGCGCTGACTTCTCTCCCTCTTTCAATTCCTATGGTAAACAGGAGAGAATTCCGAGCTCGGCCGTCAACAGGTGAGTTGGTTTTAATTATTCGAATCGAATCAATCGATCGCACCTCTATTATTATTCAAGCCTCAATCAACCGTCCTTCTCTGGTGCAGATTCAAAAGCCATCCCTCATTGAATCCTATGGACCGTGGGATGGCAGTCAGTTCTCGGCCCATGACGGCCAAGTTGGTGCAATTTGAAAAACAATGTAAGTCTCCGGTCGTCTGCAGTTGAGCACAGAAAACAAAACTCATATCTATTTGTTGTTTTCTCTGCTGTACTGCTGACGGCCGAGGAAATCCCATTGTCGAACGAACGATCGGTCGCTCCGGAGAACAAGAAGAGGAGAGGCTACCACTACCGGTACGGAGGAGACTGTTAACTCCAGCCCACCATACCAACAGTCTGAACGGATCGTCGTCGAGTCATTGAACGGCGACAGTCAACCGGAGGAGGCGACAACACACAAGAGAGTGGATCCTACTACTGGATTCACCCCTCCAGTGTTATTTCTAGTGTTTTGGTGGTGATTCCTGTGCTGGTACCCATTTTCCCGGGAACAGTGCTTGTGGAGGCTGGATTGAAAATATTCATAATGTTCGGTTGTGCATGTATTCGTCATAAGGATCCAATGCAAGATACCGGCAACGGAGTGTAGCCAGCAAAGCGGAACCTGAGTGTGTTCGGTACTGTTTGCCGATGTAACTGTACGGTAGCCGGCTACAATGGCTGGATTACATATTCGGTTTGTGATGTATTCGTCATAAGGATCCAATCGAGGTACCGGTAACTAGTGAGCAAAGCCGAACTTTCGGTACTGTTGCACTGTCGTCGATGTAGCTATACCGCAGCCGGCTACAAGGCGGATTCATAATGTTCGGTTGTGCATGATTCGTCATAAGGATCCAATGCAAGATACCGCAACGGAGTGTAGCCAGCAAAGCGGAACCTGAGTGTGTTCGGTACTGTTACACTGTTGCCGATGTAACTGTACGGTAGCCGGCTAACAATGGCTGGATTAACAATATTCGGTTTTGTGCATGTATTCGTCATAAGGATCCAATGCGAGGTACCGGTAACCATAGTGAGCAAAGCCGAACTTTCGGTACTGTTGCACTGTCGTCGATGTACTATCGCAGCCGGCTACAATGGCTGGATTCATAATGTTCGGTTGTGCATGGATTCGTCATAAGGATCCAATGCAAGATACCGGCAACGGAGTGTAGCCAGCAAAGCGGAACCTGAGTGTGTTCGGTACTGTTGACACTGTTGCCGATGTAACTGTACGGTAGCCGGCTACAATGGCTGGATAACAATATTCGGTTTTGTGCATGTATCGTCATAAGGACCAATGCGAGGTACCGGTAACATAGTGAGCAAAGCCGAACTTTCGGTACTGTTGCCACTGTCGTCGATGTAGCTATACCGCAGCCGCTACAATGGCTGGATTCATAATGTTCGGTTGTGCATGGATTCGTCATAAGGATCCAATGCAAGATACCGGCAACGGGTGTAGCCAGCAAAGCGGAATCTGAGTGTGTTCGGTACTGTTGATCCTGTCGCCGATGTAACTGTACGGTAGCACTGTAGCCGGCTACAATGGCTGGATTAACAATATTCGGTTTTGTGCATGTATTCGTCTAGGATCCAATGCGAGGTAACGAGTGCAGCGAGGAAAGTCGAACCTGAGTGTGTTCGGTACTGTTGCCACTGTCACTGATCGATGCACTCTACGGTAGCTGGCTACGATGGCTGGATTGACAATGTTCGGTTGTGCATGATTCGTCATAAGGATCCAATGAAAGGTACCGGTAACGGAGTGTAGCCAGTAAAGCGGAACCTGAGTGTGTTCGGTACTGTTGCCACTGTCACGGATCGATGTAACTCTCTGCCTACGGTATCGTAGATTGGGTGTATTCGTCATATGGATCCAAGTAGCCAGCAAACTGAGGAAACAGGAGACGAACGCTGAAAAAAAGCCGAATCTTTATGGATACGATACACCAGTCGATCAATACCTAGGCTAGGGTTGAGGCTAAAGCGATTTATAAGTCTTTGCCGTGATTTCTGATTCTTTCACCACTCACATCCACCATTATGCTTAAAAACCAAGGTCAAAATATCTTAAACGGAAGGTGTACAAGCTGATTCTTTGCTGTGCTGGTGAATCAAAGCAAGCCTGTATAGAAAACTCTGGATCCGGACCAAATCGTCAGAGTAGAGTGCACCTGCCTGTACAATGTCATGTGCTCCAGAGCTCGAGTGCTCTCTAAGTGTCCACCCGTCCACCCATTGCAGGCAAGGAAAGAAATACATATTTAATCGTTGAGGCTCCTTACCTTCATTCGTGTTCCTTACTCTAAGTTTGACCACTGATCCATGCAAGATAGGTTGAAGTACATCTTGGGAGCCATGGGGGCTTAAAGACTGAAATGGCAAGTGGGAAACAGACTTCAAACAGCAACTGAGAGGAGTGACAGTCAAATCCTTCAGTGAGTGGAGTGAAGTCGCGTCAGTCCAAACTGGAAACAGCGTATGCTCCATATACCATATGCTCCCTATCAATCAGCAACGAAACAAAATCCCTCCTCTCATTTATTTTGCTTTTAGCTCGCTTGTACAAGTACCAACCCAATACCAGTACTAGCTAGCTAGTAGTGCAATTCGCTAGTTAGCTAGCTAGCTAGCTACTCGTACTACAAAAGAAAATAATGATGCCTCCAACGAAAACTGAACTTCAGAACGAGGTGGGGATCGGGATCGGGATTGGAACCCCCGAAATGGAAGATGAGTTTCCCAAGACCCTTGATCTGGGCCAAACTTCAAACGCCATCACATCCGACAATGCTAATCAGAAACATCCTTCGGACGAACGAGGCAACGGTGGTGGCAAGAAAGACCCATCCGAGTTGCGGGCGGAACAGCCACAGAAACCAGAATCCATTACGCCTTTGACCGACACTCCAGGCGATTCCGGAAATGCAGTGCAGAGTAACAGTGCAGTTATTCCTGGCTTAGAGCCTTTGACGCTCACAAGTAGTTCCATGAACCCACTAAGGTTTAGTCGAGAGCAAGAACCAGGAGCATTCCCGGTCGGTGGAACAGGTTTGACGTCAGCTCCCAGGATTTCTATGGAGCAGCAAGATAACAATGCTGCAAGTACTGCCAATCCTGACGATGCTGACACAGATAACTTGGCTGTTGCCAGTAGGGTGGAAGATTTGGAGCTGGACCAAGCCGTCCCTCAGCCAAGCGATGCCGCAGCCGACTCTGCCAGGAAGCGAGAAGAAAGCAACAAGAAAATCAAAAGGAATATCCTTCTTACAGCTATTCTCCTCATTGCCATTGTTGTGATTGTCATCACAGTCACTGTCCCAGGAAAAGATAAATCTGCCACAATGGAACCAACAGTAGCTCCTTCGGAAGCCCCAACCACTTTTCAAGCATCGATTCTCTCCCTCTTTCCTGATGAGACCATCCAGTCAATTATGGATGTGGGGTCGCCTCAATCCAGGGCCTGGCAGTGGCTGCTTGAAGATATCCAATTGCTCTCCTTCTACAAAGACAATCGAATCATCCAAAAATTTGCCTTGGCAACACTCTACTATGCCACTGGCGGTGACCAGTGGGCCAACAACACCCATTGGCTCGATCACAGTATCAATGAATGCAACTGGTTCAACCAACGAGAATTCAGCAGGAAATCGGTAATTGTCCAGTACTATCCCGGTTACTTGGCTGGCTTCTTGGATCCACTACCAGAATGGCATTGCAATGAAGATGGCTTGTACCAACACTTGTGGCTGGATGGAAACAACCTTGTCGGGACATTGCCAGCAGAGTTCTATTTGCTCACATCCCTAGTGTCGTTCTCTGCTGGCTTCAGTGCTATGCAAGGGACAATGATCTCAACGGAGATTGGAAAACTCACAGAGCTGGAAGGATTTGTCATTTCCGACCAGAAGGATGGTGGCAGGATCCCCTCAGAAATTGGATTGTTGTCCAAACTTGTTATCCTTTCACTTCGAAACTGTCAGTTGGATGGAACTGTCCCAAAGGAAATTTGGCAGCTCACCAACTTGTACCATTTTGGTTTGAGTGTCAACCGCCAGTTGCACGGGACGATCGCCGATGAGATTGGAAACTTCAAGAATTTGGGGTGGCTCATCCTGGATGGATGTGATTTTCATGGTGCGTTCTAGTGAGCCTCCTCGATACACCAACCATAGCTTCCATATAACTGACCACTCAGAACTCCTTTGATTCTTCTACTTTTACAGGAAGCATCCCTTCTGAAATGGGTCTAGTGCCAAATCTTGATTGGATCACCTTAGGAAACAACAAATTGACAGGTACACTTGCCTCAGAGCTAGGGCTACTATCGAAGTTGCAGTTTTTTCCATCAATGACAATTTATTGGATGGCACATTGCCAACAGAATTAGGGGAATTGACATCATTATTCCTGCTGTCACCTTGGGGGAATCAGTTCACTGGTACAGTCCCGAGTGAGTATGGTCGCCTTACAGAACTGACAATAACTCTCAACTTTCATAGCAACTTCTTCTCAGGGACGATTCCGACAGAGCTTGGGCTCCTTTCTTTGCTCCACGAACTCGAGTTTCAAGGAAACATGTTCACTGGTCGTATTCCGAGCGAGTTTGGCCAACTCTCCTCTATTGGCCATCTCACATTTGCCAACAACTCTCTTTCTGGCCAACTCCCAACGGAACTTTCTTTCCTACAGCCAACGCTCCATACATTGCCGTTGCAAGGAAACCCCATGTTGTCTGGAACCATTCCTGATGGAGTTTGCAATATGAATGGCACATGTGTCAGCAGCGCCCATGATCGGTGCAACCCAGTGCGCCTGTCAGGGTTGTCTTTTGATTGTTCAGATCTGTTGTGTGGATGTGGTTGCTCTTGTCAGGGTGGCAATACCAGTCGTACATAAGAAGCTGTGCAAAAAGACGGGCTGCATGGAGTGGTCGATGAATTTTCTTTTGAAGTTTGCCAGTGGACTTCGGTTTCAAGTCTGGACATCAAAATAATTAACTACATATGATTAAAAAAGGAGCCAGGGGGGACAAAGCTAGTCTAGGAAGAATAGGGCACCTGTGGTGGAAAGTGGCAGGGAGCGGGCGGGCTAGGAAGGAAGAGAGGGGGAGGGAGCGGTGGCAATGGGCGAAAGGAGGAAATATAGGGGGAAGGGGCAAGGGAAGGCATGATTAGCGGCAGAGTGCAAGTGCACCATCAGCATTCCAGAGGGAATGGTGTCAGCTCATTGTGCCAACATGCAAAGGTCGGCCTGATGTAATCTTGTGGGCTTGGAAGTGGCGGCGTTGTGCAGTGCACTGAGCCTGGTACTTCGTCTTCTTCTGCCTCTCCCGCTGAGAAAGGGCCTTCTCAGCAGTGACGACCAGGAGACTCAACATCCACGAGGGAGACAGTTGGCAATCCAGAGCTTGTAGTTCAGATTGATTGGATAGAATCGCTAGCTTGGCGTCGACTCGACTCGACTCGAATCGAGTCTTCGAGCAAACGTATCCTTAGCCTTATGAATACTCTTCTAGTCGTGTAGTGGAGGTAATTGTAAAGTTGCCTCTTTAATTTGTTCTATTGAATAGAAATTTTGATTTACCGCATCTACCTGCACCCATGCTGTTTGATGCAACTCGCAACTACAGTACTAGCTATTGAATCGGGTTTACGATGGATTAGAGAGAGCTAAGAGGAGGACGGAGACAGAGGTCAAGGGGGGCACGACGCAGGAACGCAAGGCAGGCAATCAAGGGCGCAAGCAGGGCAACATGGAAACCAAGGATAGGGGTGAAGGCAGGAGGGCAGGGAGGAGCAAAGGAGCAAGACTAGCGGAAGAGATCGAGGGCACCACAGTCATCCCAACGCTTGGAAACCTTGAGAGCGGAGACACGGGAGCCTCTCAAACACAATGTCGTGGCACGGGCAAGAGCTATGCTCAACCTGGCCGAGATGAAAGAGCGAACCACAGAGTAGGGCTTGGACCACTTGTGAGCCAAAAGCGTACTAGCTAGTAACCTCAAATCTTCGTGGACGACACCTTGCGTACCGTTCTTGGTGCACGGCCGTCGCCGCAAGCTGGATAGCTACTAGTAGTAGCTAGTAAAAAGCATTTGTTTTCTCGTAAAAAGCATGTCACTAAAAGGCAGGAAACTATCGTCAGAGACTCATTACGGTATGGACTTGGCTGCCTAACAAGTTGTGTGTCAATCCCATCATCCACCGGCAAAAGCTACAGTAGCTAGATGTATACGGCGTTCCCACGAGGATAGTATCAACTGCCGATCGTAGAGACCCCCGAGGCGTGCGGGTGCGGAACCGAGAAATTGGGTGCGGTCGATTGACATTATTAGCTAGCTAGGTACAGCTACCAAACATCAGGCTAGCAGGGTACAGGACAATCCGCAAAAGACCATCACTCGACCCAGCTGACCGAAAGATGGAAACTCTACGAGAATTGGTGTGTAGATGGATGTCGTCTCTCAAAGCAAACGCTGGGGGTCAAAGAAACGAACGGGTTCATCAGCTGGCTAGTGTTAACAAGCATGTGCAGCTTGCTTGAACATGGTTTGGTGGGATTCTTATAGACGTTAAGAAAAAGCATGTAGCTATGCAAAATGTAAAGACTCCACCGACTGCACTTTTAAAAAGAAAATCCAGCACAAGCCAGACACCACGAGACCATCCCATGGAGCGAGCTGGTCTTTTTGCACAGCTTCTTACGTACGACTGGTATTGCCACCCTGACAAGAGCAACCACATCCACACAAAAGATCTGAACAATCAAAAGACAACCCTGACAGGTGCACTGGGTTGCACCGATCATGGGCGCTGCTGACACATGTGCCATTCATATTGCAAACTCCATCAGGAATGGTTCCAGACAACATGGGGTTTCCTTGCAATGGCAGTGTATGGAGTGTTGACTGTAGGGAAGAAAGTTCCGTTGGGAGTTGGCCAGAAAGAGAGTTGTTGGCAAATGTGAGATGGCCAATAGAGGAGAGCTGGCCAAACTCGCTCGGAATACGACCAGTGAACACGTTTCCTTGAAACTCGAGTTCGTGGAGCAAAGAAAGGAGCCCAAGCTCTGTCGGAATCGTCCCTGAGAAGAAGTTGCTATGAAAGTTGAGAGTGATTGTCAGTTCTGTAAGGCGACCGAGCTCACTTGGAACATGGCCAGTGAGCTGATTCCCCCAAAATGTTTGCAGGAATGATGCTGTCAACTCCCCTAATTCTGTTGGCAGTGTGCCATCCAATAAATTGTCAAAGATGGAGAGTAACTCCAACCTCGAAAGTAGCCCTAGCTCTGTGCCAAGGGTACCCGTTAGCTGATTTTTCCCTAGGGCTAGCCACTCCAGGCTTGGCAATATCCCCATCTCAGAAGGGATGCTACCTGTAGGGAGAGAGACAGAGAGAGACTGTTGTCAGTTGTAGAAAGCTATTGGGTGGTTTGGCACCAAGGCTGAAAAGGAACATACCATGAAGGTTTCCTTGGTCCATGATGAGCCATCGCAAACTGTGAAAATTTCCAATTTCAGATGCGATTGTCCCATCCAACCGAGGGTTATTATTCAAACCAAAATGTTGCAACTTCGTGAGCTGCCAAATTTCGGTTGGGATGGTTCCATGAAAACCACAGTCACGAAGTGCCAGGACGGCAAGGTTGGTCAACAATCCAATTTCCGAGGGGATCACACCACCATCCTTCTGGTTGGAAATGACAAAGCCTTCCAGTGCGGTGAGTTTTCCAATCTCAGTTGAGATGGTCCCTTGCATAGCACTAAAGGCTGCCGAAAATGACACTAGGGTCGTCAGCAAATAGAACTCTTCTGGCAATGTCCCGACAAGGTTGTTGGAATCCAACCACAAGTGTTGGTACATCCCATCTTCATTGCAATGCCATTCTGGTAGCGGCTCCAAAAAACCAGCCAAGTATCCCGGATAGTATTGATTGACGACGAACTTGCTGCTGAAATCGGGTTGGTTGAACCAGTTGCATGGATTGACACTGTGATCCAGCCAGTGATCGTTGCTGGTCCAGCTATTATTATCTCCGCCAGTGGCGTAGTACAGTGTTGCCAAGGCAAACTTTTGAACAATATATTCGTTCGTGTAGGAGAGCAATGCCATATCTTCCAGCAACCAGTGCCAGGCTCTGGACTGGGGTGACCCTGGATTTTCTGTAATTGACTGGACGGTGCTGTCAGGAAATAGGGCGAGAATGGATGCTTCAAAAGTAGTTGGAGCTTGGGAATAAGGGGCTTGTGAAGGAGCTACTGTTGGTTGCAGCGTGGTGGATTTGTCTTTTCCTGGTACCGTCACCGTTAACACGATAATCAAAACAGACAGTAGAGAGAGGACTCCAATCAGTATACTTGTCTTGATTTTCTTGTTGCTTTCTTCCCTCTTCCTGGTAGAATCGGCTGCATGATTGCTCGACTCGGGGACAGCTTTTTGCAGCTCCAGTTCCTCCACCAAGCTGGCCTCTGCCAGTTCCTCATTTATTGAGATATAATTAATATCTATTCTTGTGATATGATCCGAAAAAGGAGACACTGGTCCAATACGTGTACGTGTACCTGTACCGCCACTGTGCTGCTCATTCAGGCCATCGCCACTGATGGCAACTGCGCCAGGTGCATCTGTCCGACTCAAGCGAGCAGGGGTAGTACTGGTACCGGTAGTACGAGAGAGAGGCAAATGCTCAATTTCGTCTATAACGTCATTCAAGAATTCTTCATCATATGTGTGTGGCGTCAAAGACGTTGTCCCTGTGGATTTGGGTTTCTGTGGCCGTTCCACTACGACCTGCAACTCGGATGGATCTTTCTTGCCGCCATCGTCGCTGCTATGCTCGGAAGGACATTTCCGATTCTGAATATCGTTGCCAGACGTTCTTCTCAGGAAGTTAACCGTGTCAGGATACTCAAGCTTGGGGGTATCTGTACTACATGTACATGTAGCACTCATATCTTTCTGGTTGTCTGGTTTAGGTTGCATGGGACGCACCATCTTGGATCCGAGCTCTCTATATCGGACTGGCGCGAAGAATAGAGCCAAGGAAATTTTCAATTGTGAGCTCGAGTTCGTATTGTATTTCCACACTCCGCCAAACGCCAAAATTATTAAGGCAATCGCGGAAAGAAGCATACATGTCATGCAATCGCGGGAAGTGAATACTGTAATGGCAGCTGCCAGCTAGATTTAGATGGAGGTGAATTAATTGTTTCCACGCGACCTCCCGCTCAAGGGCAGAAAAACTTTAAGTGGTTAATGAGCCAGCCAGCTGTCCTAGGATGCCCAAGAGCTTACTGTACCCGACTCTCTTAGGAAGTAATAGTCAGGAACTTTCAACAGCTCTTTCAACTTTCAACTACACTCAAGTGCTACAGAGACTGCCCCCCTGTTGTTGCAGCAATGCAGCAATGCAGCAATTTAGTTTCGTTGAAGCGTGCAGAACAGCTCAGAAAGCAACTTCAAGCTTTTCATCAACCGGTGAGTTATGATGTCGATTCCAGCACAGAGCTCAGAGCACAGCGTGGAATTTAGCGCAACATCCCGCACACAGAGGTCCTCAGACAGACAGCTCTCGGACTTGGAGATGAGAGCTCACTAAAAATTTAATTCTTCCACAAGCTAGACTAGCTAGCTAGCTAGCTACCGGTAGGATATCTATGGAGGGAATTGCTGGGTGAAAGGCTGCTCTGGGAGACCATCTTTGGTACCTAGATAGCCAGGCGGTAGGCGGTAGGCGGTACCACTACATATCTCATAGTCCAATCTGGCTAGCTACCATACATACAGCCAGCCAGCTCTTTTGCGTGGATACATACATGTAACGACAACTTCTTTTTTCGAGAGCCTATAGTCGTATAGATTATAGTATGTACTGCAATCATCACAAAGATAGCCGATGGAGTGACCATGGAACATGGAACGCCGATACTAGGTCGCAGGCTGGCTGCGCACTGCATATTGCCCCTGATTGCAAAACCCCATTTGCCATTGGCATGCAAGCTTGGCAGCCTTTGCTGCATGCACTGCCCCAAACTCTTACTCGGCCGAGTACTCGGAGTAGACTACATCTATCTAATCACACCACCATCTAGCTAGCTACTAGCTCTATTCTGCCTGGCTATCTAGTTCTAGCTAGTAGTTGGAGTGAGTCGAGTCGATTATAGTGTAGTCCAGTATGCAAAAAGATACACAAAGCAGCCGACCCCGTACAGCCAGTCCCAATCGTGTGCCTCCTCTCGCCTTCACTACATGTAGCGCGCTGCTAGCTAGTGCATGTAGCAGCTAAAAAGGAGATGGCTGGTTGCTTGACTAGCTACATGTAGCTATCAAACCCCCTGTCCTGTTGCTGCGAGATCAAAGCAAGCCAACGCCAGAGACACTTTTGTTCTGGAGCGCTTTGGGCATATACAAAAAAGGTGTACCGGGCTGGTCCGTCAAATGATGTCGAGGGTGGAGTTACAGTATTTAGGAGATACTACGAGTACGCTTTGCTTGAGATTGAAGATTCCACCGCGGCTGGTACTTCAGGTTCCTTTTGCCATGGCTTTTCTTAGTCACAGCTCATTGCCATGCAAGTGACTCACCCCACAACTCATCTATAGCTAATAGCTAGTGTGACCGATCAGCAAACAAGGGTCCGCTTGGCTGTCGCCGGATAATTTCCTACTCTAAACCCCCCGTAAATCCAAAAAAGATAGCTAGACTACAGCTATCTGAGCAAATTGTTGTCATTTTGGAATTTGCCCAACCTTAGTTGATTGACACGGGATGTTTAGAGTATTGCATCCTCACCGGCTTACATTTTTGGCTCCACCGCCATCTGCAACTTTCTTTTGCATGACACAAAAAGAACACGTATGCAGCATAGTGACCCTTGCACTCGACGCTGACTCGACTCTGAGCACGAGCCTGGCAAAACAGCTGAGAGGAAAGTTTCGACAAGCCCGATCGATCCAGCTATCATTATTTTTGTTAGACAAGCAAGCAATCGTTGGTAGAGTGACATTATAATACAAAGGGATCCAAGCGATCAAACTCAACCTTAACCATGCAGGGAAACAAACCTAATGATGCTGAAGAAAGCCAACCACAGCCACCAGCAAGTCATGCAGAAGCTGTAGCAACCAGCGAACTGCAGGATCTCGATGAGTCGAACTATTCACAGTCAACAACAGAATTCGATGTCATTGACAAAGCACTCATGATAAGTGCTTCTGGTGGCGCTTGTGAAGCCGGCGAGGCGGAATGTCGAAAGCTACTAGCTTTTGAACAAGAAGCAAGAGCATCAAGGGAAAACTCTATAGATAGTGAGACAGACGCTCTAAATATGGAAGAAGGATTGGATCCTCTGGACCTAGTTAAAATTGTGGAAGCCCGCCTACAAGATTCGGATGCTAGTCCTGCCGAACAAGACACTGAGACTGCTTCAGTTGTGGCAGGAACACAGGGATACGAGGAAGAAAGTTTATCCTCGCTCGACGTGGTCAAAATGGTGGAGGCTCGTCTCCAAGATTCAGGTCTCAACCGCGGCGAAAATACTACCTCTCCAGACCAGGACAATTCCCCATCAGCTGAAAACAAAATCGAACAGAAGAACCACCACAAGGAACAAAAAGTGAGCAATATTTCGAGCACTGGTGAGGCCAAAAAAATTGGAATTGGCCTTGACAACAGGGACTTAGTTCGTTTCGATACGGCACAAAATGATGGCAATCATGGAGTTTTGCCTTTGCCTCCGGCTGAACCGAACACTGTCAACAGAAGACCCCAAGCACACCCAGGAGCCTTTGCAATTGGAGCCTTTGCAATTGGAAACAATCAAGCATTAGAAGAATATCTCGAAGCAGCAGTGACAGACATTGAACCAGCGACAACTGGAGCACCTATGATCCAACCAGAAAATGGCAATCCTGGCTTGGCTGTGGCAAATTTGGTTCAACATGAGACAACCGCTCAGGATCTGCCCCATGCTCAAGATTATAATCCGGACAACGTCATCAACACCAGAGAAAAAATGATGAAGCAATTCAAAACCAAGGTCCTCTTGGGAGTCATTGCCTTGTTGGCCATCATTCTCATTTTGGTAGCCATCCTGATTCCTCCACGCAAAGAGGATAATGCAGGTCTTTTCCCAACAACCGCACCTAATGGCTTGCCCAGCAGCAGCCCATCTCAGGGACCATCATCATATTCAGAGTACTGGCTGTCTCTTTTCCCTGAATCAACAGTCTCTGCAATTTTGGAGGATCCAGAATCGCCCCAGTCGATGGCATTTGAATGGCTCACGGAAGAGATCGACATCCTACAAAACCTTACACGGGGGAGAGTTGTACAGCGGTTTGCACTTGCAACTTTCTATTTTGCCAACAGTGAAGAACGATGGTCCTTGAGTGACAATTGGCTAAGCCACAGTGTTCATGAGTGCCTCTGGTATTCAAGTTTGGAGGACTATTATTTCATATTTGAGGCCAACCTAGTTTTCCCACTGAATCACCTCAGTCCCTGTGAGCAAGATCCAGCTGGATATCTAGAGGAAGGCATCTTGTACCAGGGAGATGGAATCCTGAAGCACTTTTGGCTGTCCTTTATTGGCCTGATGGGATCCGGGATTCCACCCGAGCTCTACTTGCTTACAGAACTCAAGAGCTTGGCATTGGATGGATTCAACCTTACCAGCACAATCCCAGAAGAGCTATCTGGCCTTCCCAGTTTGCAGTATATTTCCATGGTCAGTTGTGGCCTTTATGGCTCCATTCCAGAAGCACTCGGAAGTTTGTCAAGACTTTTAGCAATTTACTTTGCCTTCAACTCTTTGACGGGAACTGTAAGTGGCGACCCATGATGTACCTGACAAGATTGTTCTCAAAATATCTAATTTTGCCAATCCCTCTTGTTTGACATTCTATGATTCCAGATTCCATCATCCCTGTTTTCCCTTACCAACTCCATTAGAGGCATGGCTCTATTAGGAAACCAGCTGACAGGACCAGTATGTACATTATGAGTCTTGTGTTTTGCAAATACAGTTTCAGTCCTCAGAACTGTTCTCCATCTTGTAGTTACCAACAACAGAGGTGGAAATGCTGACTGATTTGCAGGTTATGTGGCTTGGTGGCAACCTTTTCACTGGGACCATTCCCACAGAGCTCGGGCAGCTGACTCTCTTGAATTATTTAGGTCTTGAAGAACTCATGTTGAGTGGCTCTGTAAGTTTTGCATATAGCTCTGTTTGGGGGATTGGGTGCTTGTTTAATGCCTGTGTTCTAGCTGTACTCAATACTCTCCAACAACTCCTTTAGATCCCAAATGAGCTTGCAGTTCTTACAGACATGGCACTTCTGCAACTGGATAACTCAGGTCTTCTAGGGACAATCCCTAGATGGCTTGGCAACATGACATCCATGGACACATTGACACTGTCAGACAACTCCTTTACTGGGACTGTAAGTCTATTTTGTTCTGGTCGTGTCAAGTTTCTTCTTCTGCTTACACGAAGTCCATGTATGCTTCTCTTCCTCTGCTTTTCCCTCTAGATCCCAACAGAGCTTGGCCTGCTGACAAAGATGTGGACCTTATGGCTTGGTGTGAATGCTTTGTCGGGCACCATCCCAAGCGAATTTGGAATGTACGAGGAAGCCCTTGTGTTCACCTTGCACAGCAATGACCTGACAGGAACCATTCCTACAGAGTTTGGTCTGCTCACTGGTTTAGATCAGGTGTGGCTGTTTGACAACAATTTGACTGGAACAGTGCCTTGGGAACTTGGCAATGTCCCGTTCGGTGCACCTTATGGTCATGTCTTTTTGGATGGAAATGATCTTTCTGGTATTATCCCTGAGAGCTTATGTTCTGCCAACAACCTTACTTTTGACTGCAGCACCTTTCTGTGCGGATGTGACTCATGTAACTGTTCTGACTTTAAAACATTGCCGATACTGGAGGAAGAGAATACGGGTCAGCTGCTGAGTGAGGCAAACCAAACTGAGGGGAACCGAACTGAACCATGAGCGAATGACTAAATATTGTCTGTTGATCATCATACTATACTACGTGTCTGCATATAGTTTTTTTAAAAACCTACTTTGAAAGTATTCTGTGTTACTGCTCAGTTTGGAAACTGAAACCAACTGTAGGCCAAAGAAAGCTATGGATTTGGATGTCACAGGAATGGCAGTGGCCTTACTGTATGGATTGAATGCACAAATGTTCACGTACCAGTAATTTGGCTATTCTTCTGGCGAAATATCCCAAAAGGAGGAATGTGTGCTCTGTCTTCTTCAGTTGCATTGGGCAGATGAGTCATGCCAAGACGTATCTTACCTAGCTTTTCCGATTACATGACTCGCGGCACTGCCTTTCACTGCTGGCTGCGCCCACTATCCTGGAGCTCCTTGATGTGGGAGGAGAGTGCAACTGGCTCATGAATGCTGTGAGTAAGTGCTCGCGGCAAATGAAACTCTCGCTGTATCGTGCTGCAACGTACGTGGCCTTGCCTGGCCCTCGCTGGCTTCCAGAGATAACCTGTCTCCCTACTGAAACACTGAAACCCCCTTGCGTAGATCGGCTGTAGCTTGCTTTTGCCAGTGTCACTGATACGGTGATACGAGATTGATCCTCGACAACTTGCCAGCTCGAGGTCGCAGCTGGATTTGGGGTGCCTTGCTTGCCCCGAAACGAGTGACAGTCCAGTCCTCCATTGCACTATAGCCCACTCTGACCCGGCCGTGGTACCGGTAGTAACTTCTATGGGCATCGTCTATAGCTAGCTTGTTAGCTAGTTATAGCCAGCAAAATCTACTTCCAGCTCGTGCATAGTATATATAGTCATCGATAGTTGCAATTCGACTGGATTCGCTTAGCTTATCTTAGATAAGATTCTATTCCAACAATGATCGTGGCTGTTTCCTCTGGCCCGAGTGCATGGTAGGTTCCGTCCGATGGTACGTTCCGTATATCGACTCTGGGGGCTTGCAGAAAGCATCCTCACCGGCTTCATCTTTTTTGCTCTCTTGGAATCGGTTGGCGTTCTCGTTCTCGATCATTCGAAGCCGCACCCTCTCAAGTTGTTCCATTTTGTTTTCCGGTTAATTGGATCCTTGCGATCATCTGTATAGGTCAAATGGATGAGTAATAACAAAAATATTGATGACGATGATACAACCGCTAGTATCTTGGAGCAAGCCAAGAAGGAAGTAGCTTATCCCAAGGCCAAGCAAAAGCTTCAACATGCAGCAAAGCAGCCGAAAGGCTTCAGGGCGCCGCGGGACTGCTTCGTCTTCTACGTGTCCAAGTGCCAATACAAGACGATCGTGAGGGAAAGCGTTCTCTTGGCTGAAGCCAAACGGGGCATTGCTTATCCCGCAGGTATACATACTGAAGATGCAGGTGTACGTACATGTACATACTCAAGGCAGCAGGCACTGTTACAGGTAGCAACATCTTGGCCAACGAAAAAGAGCAGATTGCGTACCCCAAGGGTAGAATCTCTACCAGTACCAGGTACTGGTATACTCCAGCTACCAGTCATTCGAAATCTGCCTTCTTTAGTTGGAGGAGACAGACCAAAAAACACGCCAGTCATTCCAAACTCCTTCAAGGCTGAAAAGAGGATTTGCCATCCGGCATCCCAGAGATCATGATGCGGCTACAGCAATGACGACCAATGTTTTAGGGATTACCTCTCCTCCAAACAACGACAACTTGGGCAAGTACCACACCACCAGGAGGCATGCCACAGGAGACACAACCAGGAGCCCATGCATCAAGTGGAGAGATTGAATCTCTTCAAGATGATTTGGGGATACTTTACCCCCGGCCCAACAAGAACAAGACAATACTGGCTTGGCTCTGCCAACATAGTGCTAGAGGAAGGTAGCTTGCCAATCGCATTGCCAGATGGTGACGCGGGTGCTGCTAGTAGGGACAAGAAGAGAGCAGAGCAGGAAAAGCACTTCAAACTACGACCACCTTCTGATGATTGCCATTATAACGATTTTGCTGGCTGTGCTCATCCCTTGGAGCAACCACAATGGAGGATCCACAGAGAAGGATGGTGCTGCCACAAGTGCAATGACACCAACAATCACTCCTTCGCCCTTTGGCACCCAGCGTCCATCCATCTCCGGCACCAACTTTTTTTCACATTCATCCCTTGGAACGAAATCATTCCACTGGCTTTTGCAGGATGTGGACCAGATGAAGTTTCTCCGAAGACCGAATCCGGCAGAAGGTTTCCCTTGCCACACTCTTCTATGCCACAGCATCCACGAATACAAGTGGCACAACCTTTGCGCAGATGACTACCGTTCGACAATTAATTCGATGACCATGGGTTTTTGGCTGGACCAGAACAACCTGGGAGGATACCTCAATCCCTTTGGAAATCTAACGCATATTGCCATCACTCAAGACATTTTCAACCCGCCTGGAACCAAGTCCACCGATTCCTCTCCACTCACATTGGACAGCTCCGCTTCTTGGAAGGATTCGCTTTGGGGTCTCCCACAACTCATCTAGCAAGCATGTGCACGCTTAGCTCTGGTTAGCTGGTACGGTAGCTCATGGCCCGACCAGAAGCAGTCAATTTTTAGCTATTTCGGCTGTTGCTGCATGAATGGAGACTATAGACTCGAGATAGATCCCCGTTCCATGAAGGACTATCTGGCCCTGGCTGGCTTCCGTAGATAATCTAGACTAGACTATATATATCCGACTATATCTATACCTATGCTGTGCTCTAAACCCCCGTTTTAATGATCCCGACTGAGCGCTCGAACAGACCATGGCGTTCGGATCGAGATGGACGTTCAATCATTCAATCACTTTGCTTTCTTTGTAAGATAGTTGGGGTAAACCATATTATGGAATTCAATTATTTAGACAAGTTTTAATAGAACATTATCGTAATGGTTACCTCAACTACCTTATTTGGAATCCTTCTTCTTCCACGTGGATCGAGTGACGATGTGACGATGAGTGACAGTCTGTGGCCCAGTCGTCACTCGATTTGGCAGTCCAGTCAGTTGGGTGGAGCCGTGCAAAGCCCAGATCACCGTGCTGGAGTCATTCTATAAAGAGCAAATTGATGCAGCTTCCGTATAGTATAGATAATATACCCACTCTACTCTATACTCCCGTTTACTAATTGATGCATCGTTGATATATTGTTTGCAGCAATCAAAACTAACCATGCAGTCAACCAAAAACGACGATGACGATGCTAACCAAGCAGCCATGATGCCCAGTGATACTGGTACCGAGGAGGCAGAAGAAAGCCAACCAAGGCCACCTACCAGAAGAACTGGGACTAGCAGAACTGGCACACCGCGAGATCTCGATGAGTCGAACCAATCACATTCAACTTCAGACGATGTTATCGAAAAGGCTCTCAGGATAAGATCTTCTGGTGGCACTTGTGAAGCTGGGGATGCCGAACATCGAAAGCTACTTGCTTTTGAACAAGAAGCAAGAGCATCCAAGACAAAATCTAGTGACAAGTCTCACAATGACATCCGCCGTACTAGTAGAACCAGGACAAAAAAATCAGCACGGAACAAAGATACAGCGCCAACAACAGCCACACAAAATACGTATACTGGTACCGAAGAAACATTGGATCCTCTGGACCTCGCTAAAATTGTTGAAGCCCGCCTAAAAGATTCCGATGACAATCCGGCAGTGCAAGAGCGCGCAAAAAATCTCCATCCCACAAACAAAGGCCTACAGGCTACCTCAGTTGGACCAGAAACACAGGGATACGAGGAAGAAGGTTTATCCCCACTCGATCTGGCCAAAATTGTGGAAGCACGGCTACAAGATTCAAGTCTCGACCAAGGTGAAAATACTACCACTCCAGAATGGGGCAACTCTCCACCGGCTGTAGACACTATTGAGCAGCAGAACCACCAGGAACCAAAATTAAGCGATATGTCGGGCACTGGTGAGGCCAACAGAATTGGACTTGTCGACACCAATGTAGCGCCGGACGATACGGTACAAAATGATGACAATTTTGGAAATATGCCTCCATTGGAACGTACAACAGCCAACAGAAGGGCCCAAGTACTACCAGGAGCCTTCCCAAGCGGAGGAAATTCTCAAGCAGGGGAGGAGGATTTGGAAACCACAGAGATGACACGCATCGAACCAGCAACTACTCAGCCACCTACGATCGAACCAGAAAATGGCAATAGTGGCTTGGCTGTGGCCAATTTGGTCGATGAGGATGAGTACATTGCACCAGAAGATCTGCCCCAGGCCCAAGATTACAACCTGGAAAATGAAAACGGAAGCATAGAAACAAGGATGAAGGAATTCAAAACCAAGGTCCTCTTGGGAGTCATTGTCTTGTTGGCCATCACTATCATTTTGGTAGCCATTGTGACACCTAGAAAGAAACAAGATGACCCCGTCCCAACATCCACACCTAGTGAGTTTCCCAGCAGCAACCCATCTCAGGGACCATCGTCCTATTCAGCATACTGGCTGTCTCTTTTCCCTGAATCAACAGTCTCTACAATTTTGGAGGATCCAGAATCGCCCCAGTCGATGGCATTTGAATGGCTCGTGGAAGAGATTGACATCCTACGCAACCTTACGGCGCAGAGAGTTGTACAACGTTTCGTCCTTGCAACCTTCTATTTTGCCAACAGTGATGATCAATGGTCCTTTAGTGACAATTGGCTCAACCACAGTGTTCATGAGTGCCTTTGGTATTCAGGTTTGGAGGATTTTTATTTCTTTTTTGGGGCAGACCAACTGCTCCCACTGGATCACATCAGTCCATGTGAGCAAGATCCAGCGGGATATCTAGAGGATGGCATTTTGTACCAGGGAGATGGAATCATGAGGCACTTGTGGCTGCAATTCAATGGCCTGGTGGGATCAGGGATTCCACCAGAGCTCTACTTGCTTACGGAACTTCGGAGCTTGGGGTTGGATGAATTGAACCTTACCAGCACCATCCCAGAAGAGCTCTCTGGCCTTCCCAGTTTGGAGTATATTTCCATGAATTTTTGCAGCCTTTATGGTTCCATTCCTGAAGCACTTGGAAGTTGGTCAAAACTTGGAATCATGTACTTTGGCTGGAATTCTTTGACGGGAACTGTAAGTGGTTGCCCATGGATGGAATATCTGGGCAGAGCTTAAGCTACAATATCTCACCTTGTGATTTCTTCACCTTGAATTGCTGTCTTTTGCAGCTTCCATCATCCCTGTTTTCCCTTACAATGCAATCCGTTGCTCTTCCTGAAAATCAGCTGACAGGACCAGTAGGTACAAATGTGTTGTCTCTGTGAATGTTTGTTGTTTCTCACTTGTCGTTTCCGATGTTGCAGTTACCAACAGAACTGGGATTGCTAACAAAAAAAAAACTGAACGTCAACAGAACTGGGATTGCTAACAGCTTTGGGGGGTCTGGCACTTGACACCAACCTTTTCACGGGGACACTTCCCACAGAAATTGGCCGATTAACCGGGTTAGAGTCCTTGCATCTGAATAGCCTGATTCTGAGTGGTGCTGTAAGTTTTCACAATGGCATTGATTGATTCTCAGTGTTTGCGATCTGGAGACCTCACCAGCACACTCTGGTAGATCCCCAATGAGCTTGCAGCTCTTACAGACATGATACTTTTGTACCTGGATAACTCGGGTTTTAATGGGACAATCCCTAAATGGCTTGACAGCATGACATCCATAGACACGTTGTTTCTGTCCGACAACTCCTTTACTGGGACTGTAAGCATATTTTTGTGTCAACCCTGTCGAAAGAACTTATTCTTCTGCTTACACGAGGTCCATGTATGCTTCTCTTCCTCTGCTTTTCCCTCTAGATCCCAACAGAGCTTGGGCTTCTAACAGAGATGCTTGTTTTGTGGCTTAATTCGAATGCTTTGTCCGGCACAATCCCAACTGAAATCGGAATGTACGAGCAAGTGTTAGTGTTGCTCTTGAATAATAATGACCTGACAGGAAGCATTCCTACGGAGCTTGGACTGCTTACTGGTTTACATCAGCTTTGGCTAGATGACAATAATTTGACTGGAACAGTGCCTTTGGAGCTTGGCAATGTCTCTTTCCCTGCACCTCGTGGTCAAATCTGGATGCATGGAAACTATCTTTCTGGCATTATCCCTGAGAGCTTGTGTTCTGCCAACAACCTTTACTTTGACTGCAGCAGCCAGCTTTGTGGATGTGACTTGTGTATCTGTTCTGACAATACAACATCACAGACACTGGAAGGAGAAAGACTTGTCTATGTAGACGGTCAGCTGCTACTGCTGAGTGATGAGGGTTACCTGCTGCCGCTGAGTGAGGCAAACCTAACTGAGGGGAACCAAACTGAACCCCGAACCGAATTACTGGATGATTCTGCTCATTCGTGACAGTGCTATACATATATTTACATAAAATAGTTAGGAATTATATGTCGAAATCATAGTGAGCGACGCTGTGAGCAGAATTCTTTCTTGATCATCCACGGACCATGGAACCTCTGTTGGCTGAAGTTTGGTTGATTGCTTGCATGCGGTTTCTTCTATAGAATCTTGAGTACTGCAGCCGTTCAGTTGCCAACAAGCTGTCTAGGTGGCCTTTGTTGCTTTGAGTAGAAGAATGGGGGTTCAGAGTACTGGCTAGTACGATAACTTGACCGTGTCCTTTCTCCAATTTCACAAAATGATTCGCTTCGGAAATGAAGACCACAGGCTTCGTACCAGTATACTCTTCGGGGCCGGTCTTCGTACCACTCAGGATCTGCCCCAGGCTCAAGATTACAGTCCGGACGAAATCACCAACAACAGAGAAGAAAGAATGAAGCAATTCAAAACCAAGGTCTTCTTGGGAGTCATTGTCTTGTTGGCCATCACTATTATTTTGGTAGCCATCCTGATTACTCGACGTCAAGAGGAGAATGCAGATCTTGTCCCAACAACCTCACCTAGTGAGATGCCCAGCAGCAACCCATCTCAGGGACCATCATCGTATTCAGAGTACTGGCTGTCTCTTTTCCCTGAATCAACAGTCTCTACAATTTTGGAGGACCCAGAATCGCCCCAGTCGATGGCATTCGAATGGCTCGTGGAAGAGATTGACATCCTACGCAACCTTACGGAGCAGAGAGTCGTACAACGTTTCGTCCTTGCAACTTTCTATTTTGCCAACAGTGGAGAACAATGGTCCTTTAGAGACAATTGGCTGAACCACAGAATTCATGAGTGCCTTTGGTATTCAAGTCTGGAGGATTCTTATTTCATTTTTTGGGCTGACAGTCCCTGTGAGCAAGATCCAGCTGGATATCTAGAGGGTGGCATCTTGTATCAGGAAGATGGAATCCTGAAGCACTTTTGGCTGACCTTTAATGGCCTGATCGGATCAGGGATTCCACCAGAGCTCTACTTGCTCACAGACCTCAAGAGCTTGGCATTGGATAAATTGAACCTTACCAGCACCATCCCAGAAGAGCTCTCTAGCCTTCCCAGTTTGGAGTATATTTCTATGAATTTTTGCAGCCTTTATGGCTCCATTCCTGAAGCATTCTTGTACTCAGTTTCCTGCTTCTGCCAAGTAGATAACTTATTCTTGTAGAGAGTTAGCTTGAGCTCGTCATATATCTTCTTGCCGTCAGCATCCGTAGTATAGGATGGTTCCGTTGGCTCTGTCGGCGTCTGGTCTTGCATAGTCTCAATGGCCAGTGACGCTTTGGGAACGTCTATCCACTCTGACCTGGTTCTGAAAGTAGCCACAATGTGGTTCAATGTCTCTGTAAACGGATAAAATCTGGAGTCAGCCTGTCCATTGGGATGGAACAGGTACTTGCGGCGGTTGCTTTGTCCTTTGCCTCTACCGCCACCACTGGCACCGCCTCTACCGGCGCCTTGGCCTCTGCCGGAGGAGCCTCTGCCTCCTCCTCTGTTGCCACGGCCTCCTCTGTTGTTGAATCTTGTCATCTTGCTCTTGATATGGTCTATTTGCCTTGAGGAATTACTGGCTGCGTGGGCTTGTACTGGATACGGTGTACTTGGGCGCTTGGTGGAGCTTGAGGGGGTTCCTCTTCTTTTCCTATTGATCAGGTTGCCTCTGTGGATCTATATGTCACTCCTGTGACTGCTCCTGCCTTAAACTTGGCTTGTACCTATCTGCGCGTCGTACCTTGGAATCGTGGCTCTATAGCTCACACGAAAAATTCCACCGTTTGACCTTGAGTGTACTGTCGGACTCTTCTGTTGGTCCTCTCGAAGGTTTCCTGCTGATGTAGATAGTTTCAATAGTGTTAGATGTGACTACTGGAGCAGTTTCATAGGCTCGAGTGTCTTCTTCCTTGAGTTTCAGCTGTCGGCGCTAGGCTGGGACCTGTTGATTCCCACTGCTCGAGCGCTGTTAACTCGATCGGCAATAACTCAATCAATTTTCGGAGCTGAGAGCTTGCACTTGTCGTGGCATTAGCGTTGTTGTCTCCTCTTTAAGACTCTGTATTGGTCTCTTAGCGAATCTTGCTTCGTTCGCTCGTTCGTTAGCTTCGAGTCGATCGGCTTTTGCTCGGTGGATGGGTACCCAAAACACGCGATCGGCGATTACTCCTTCAATTCTTGTCGGATCGGCTTGGTTCAAGCATCAATATGGACCGGCTAGCTGTGCTCTCGACGCTGATGTGCTTGGTTTGCTCTGAATCGGTCGACAAGTCGATCGGCCGATTGCTCGAGAGCTTGGAATGAGGGAAAATGTGAGCGCGAATTTTCTCTGTTGAGCCCACAGGCACCTCTGATAGTGAGGCTAGCCACTGTAATTCAGCACCTCTAGTTCAATTCCTGGTTACTCTATCTTTTGGTCTTTACCATGGGCAAACTCAATACAAACAATCCAAAAACCTTTTTCTTCTCAGTGTTGGGTCTAATAACACTGCAGCTACTAGTAATATCAAGGTTAATTTGTTGATTTGGGCGAGCTGAGAAGAAAAAGTGATCTTTCTGGCTGGTCGCTTTGAAGTCTGGATCTGAGAATGCCAGTTCCTTAAATTCCTACGGTGGTGCGGTCTTTTTCTTATCCGGGTCCGCTAAATATCTAGACCGGCCAACACTCGGCAGTATGTCAAATCTTGAAGTTATCAACTTGGCTGTCAACTCTTTGACGGGAACTGTAAGTGACAGCCTAAAGTTTGTGACAAGATGGTTCTCCAGATATATCTCAATCGTCACTGGACTTGCTGCAATATCTCATTTTTCCAAATCATCTTTTTAAACATTCTATCGTTCCCAGATTCCATCATCCCTGTATTCCCTTGCAAACTCAATACGAGGCCTCATTCTCCCATACAATCAGCTAACAGGACCAGTATGTGCAATTTTCTGTTGTTGTTGTTGCACAAGTGTGGTGGCACTGATTATGTTATAACTATTTCTTATCTTGCAGCTACCAACAGAACTTGGATTGTTGACTAACTTGCACAGTTTATCCCTTGACACAAACTTGTTCACTGCGATGATTCCCACCGAGGTTGGCAGATTGACTCTCTCGATGGGCATACTCCTTCACAGCCTAATGTTGAGTGGTACTGTAAGTTCTTGCAGTGATGCTGCGGAAGTGAATTGGTTTGTGTGTTGAATATATCATAGGATTACATGCTTCACTCTAACTTCAATGACAGATCCCAAGTGAGCTTGCTTTGCTTACAGACATGGACAGTCTTAATTTGCATGACTCGGCTCTTACGGGGACAATCCCTAGATGGCTTGGGAACATGACATCCATGCAGGGATTGACACTGTCGGGGAACTCTTTCACTGGGACTGTAAGTGATAGCTTGTGCCAGTTCTGTCGAGCTTCTTCTTCTTCTAACATGAAGTCCATGTATTCTTCTTTTTCCGCTGCTTTTCCCTCTAGATCCCAACAGAACTTGGCCTGCTGACAAAGATGTGAACCTTATGGCTTGATACGAACGCACTGTCCGGCACAATCCCAACTGAATTTGGAATGTACAAGGAAGACCAAATAGTGTTGCTCATGAATAACAATAACCTGACAGGAACCATTCCTACAGAGCTTGGTCTGATTACTGGTTTAGTTCAGTTCTGGCTTCATGACAATGATTTGACTGGAACCGTACCCTTGGAACTTGGCAACGTTCCTTTCCCTGCACCTTACGGTCAAGTCTATTTGTATGGAAATGATCTTTACTAAAAGGAAATCTGAAATCTGATGAAAAGGTAATTTGTCTTTTGTTGTTGTTTATTATTTATTGTTGTGCCAATTTCCTGAAATTGTGAGCTTGGAAATGAAGGACGTGTTGTGTGATTTCTGAAACTTGGACCTTGCAAGTCTTTGGGGCGAGTACTGTT